CCTTAACTTTTATATACATATAGAAAATAAAAATAAAATAACAGTTATATAAGGCAAGATCATGTAAAACCAACAGTAAACACACTTGAAAACAAACAATATAAAACAAAAACACTGTAGACGAACCACGAGAAACTCGACTATACGACAAATAAGACATACGTGAAATGTACCGAAAATACAGAATTCAAACCACAAACGATAAAACATAACACAATATCTAACGGACTTACAAAAGAAACATTATAACTAAATACATGAATTGGATGTATAAATACCGAGACACATCGTACAGCAATGCGAATTCACACTTGGCAGAACAGTCATATTCGGGAATAGGTCACATTAGGTACCTAGCAGACCAGACGAATTAGATGTAAACCACAATCTAAGACGTGGTAAAAATGTCGTTAGGTAGTTAAGACACAGACACATCGTATAGCTCAACCAATTCGTGATGGTGTCCATAAAATCTACGGAGTGTCATTTTTAATTTTTCCTCCTCATAACTCTGTTGGAGCAGGTTTTGCGTAAGGAGCACACTCCTGTATATAAAGTCCGTATAGGGTGAACATGCACGAGCATAACGTATCAATTGAGAAAGTAAACACCATACGACGGGGCAGAGGATATGCTACTGCTGAGAAATCGGAAATTGATTATTGGGAAGTTGAAATCATCCAGGTGTCACAGATTTTAGTGTGAAGTCGTCCATCTGTGTCAATATTGAGGAAAAGATCAAAGTATGAAGCAGTCCTTCTAGTTACTGTAGTATTCTCCATTTCAAGTTCACTGGGGTATATGAGATGCAAGTACTGACTGAAATATAGGTTATTTAGTGTTAGGACATCATCAATATATCTGAAAGTAAAATTAAAGAATTTCGCAAGGTGCATTTTATTTTTGTCTTTTAGAAGGTTCTGAATGAATTCTGGCCCATACGAGTACAAAAACAAATCGGCCAGTAGGGTGCACAATTAGTACCCATTGGAATACCGACTGTTTGTCGAAATAGCAATCCTCCAAACTCAACAAATATATTGTCGATCAAAAAGTCCAGCATTTTGATAATGTCAACTCCAGTCTTTTTTCTGAGAGAATCAGTGTGGTTCTTCACATAATAAGAATTATCATAATCCAAACATGAAATTTAAATCTACGATTCCCATATTTATAGAAAGAGCTCTGTTTAATGAGATGGTGAAGTCGATCCTTCAATTGAGCATGGAGAATAGCGGTGTTAAGCGTAGAAAAATCAAAGGTCTAAATGTTCCTGCAAAATTGCAGAGATTGTGATCTAAGATTTAGCAGTAGATCTTTAGAATTATTAAGAATCCACATCTGATTGACACCACGGGTTGAATATATCTCATCAAAATATTTTTGAAGGCCATCTTTTACTGTAGAAAGAATAGTAGTCAGCAATTTAGAAAGATGTTTAGTCGAACATCCTTATGATCCAGCTATGTATCGTTCTTTACAAGGAGTTTTGTGAAATTTTGGTATCCATTATAATGACGGTATATTTTCTTCGTTTTCTTTGATGTTAATACCAAAAGAAAGAACGTGATAAAAAGGCATAGTGTCAAATTAAGCTTACTAGTATTCTAATCAGCAGTCCAAGATATGACAATACAACCTTGGTGATGTTTGAACAAAAACATGAAAGTGAGAAGATACCAAGAAGGCATTAAAAATCATAAGCCCAATAAAAACAGACACCACCATTGCAACAGAAAACAGACGAGCAGACAAACAAGTTAACAGCTTACACAACGCTTCACAGAAAACTTAATATAGAGCAAAATTTGCGGCTAAAACAGATTCTGTAGAAGAGTAAGGAGTTTCTGTTTCATTATCGGCACCCTCTGTGTTACTCAGTGCAAGTAAATATACGATGAAAAGTCGCATTCTGTATTGTCACAATCGAGGAAAAAACAATATGTGCCACAGATATTTCAAAATGGTCAACCAAATCATGACCGCGCCATATCTTCTTTGTAAGTTCAATGATATTGTTGTTCAAGAGCAAGAAGGGAAGCACGTGATCACCAAGTCAATCTGCCTTTTGAGAATGAAGAAGTAATCGAATTTATGATACCAATTTTAGTGAGAACGACGATGTTTCTATAATTTCCTTTTCCACTTACAAAGATACTAGAAAACACCCGCGAAATCGCGGGTATCAAGTTTAGAGCTTGGTTGAAAGTATGTAAACTGTCGTAGGATGAATTTTTGTAAAAGATTTTATGTCTGGAGAATTTCAGAAAAGGTATCAAACTGAGTCAAAGGCACTTGGAGACAGGACAATTATTTTAAGCCCTCTCCCTTTTTTCCAAAGTCCGTTATTTTTTTGATCTCTGTTAAATTCCATGATTTTCGCGTTTCTGTATACTATGAACATACACATAATATAAATACAGTGTATTTGCTATTAACTATCAATTCCAAGTTTCTTCTCTACGGCGATCACTGCTATATTATTATTATTATATAGAGAGTCTCTATACATTATAGGATTATAATCATAGTATACATGCAGAATAACGCGAAAATAATTGTCTTGTCCCCGAGTAATTGTGAAAATTATGTTTAAATAGGGGAGTAAAAAGGGGGTGGGGGTATCTGCACGGAAGAACGCGAAATGAATTGTCATTTCACGATGAGCGAACAATTAAAAATTTCTTGCATGTTGATCTTTTTATCGATTTCAAGAAACACGGTGAATAACGAACCTTTTTCACGGCTGCACGTGAAATAAAAAGTGGCAAAACACGTTGCACGAAAATAACCCTTTATCCCCTCTTTTAAAGTTTAAAATCGGAAGTCTTGGGTATGACTTAAAAGTCGGTCTGATGACGAAAACAATACCCGGACGCCTTTTTCTTCGTTTTTCTCCCAAAATAACCCAAACTGAATAATCATAAGAACGGATGACAAATGCGACTATGCATGGTACCTATAGAACAGAGAGGCATGATGATTAATTTATTTGGGAAGGAAGAGAAGCGACACACAAAATGAGGTCTTCTCGTTTAATAGTATAGATAGATACGCACAAGGCCAGAAGAATTGGAAGCACAAATTGCCTAAAACATCCTAAATTTTTTTAATCTTCGTATACTTATTTGACCTTTTACTTTTTTTGGTTTTACTTCGAAGGTCACTGATGAGTCTTTTGCAGATGAAATGCGTGTCTGGCGTACAAAATGTTAAGCCTGGTATCTATAATGAGTTTATTATGAACATTGAATCCAAAAGAGATCTAAACAGGATAGCCACACTCAATTTCGATGAAATCTGCATAAGGTATTTGTAACTAAAGTTTTATATTTTACAAAATACATCATGCAAGGTGTCAATACAGAAGCTTTGGCTACTGATTTGAAAGTGCTATAATTAGTCGACAGCACTGACAAAATCATAGTTATCAAAACCGATTAATCGTAAAAATTATATTGTCAAGATCATTTGACTTGAAAGCCACTGACACTGTAAAAACGTGTAATTATTCATTTCCTCAAAGATTTCCTAAAGTTTTTCATGATTTATTTCTCCAATACTCAACTTTATTTTTGTCTAGATAGTATTGAACAAAAAAAAATGAGCAACAGACCGTGTTATACTGGTAGAACAGGAGATGTTTACCCTACCAACACACATAGATTCCTCTCAAGTTTAAATGCAGATCGTGTTATAATAAATGTTTTGATGACTATCGTTTGTCTCTATTCTTAAGATGAAGGAGTATGTAGTTTTACTTTTGTAGTCAGTGCTTTGGAGTTGACAGGATTTGTAACACGTTATAAAAAAAAAATCCATTTTGATAAATGAAGAAATTATTTAGAAAATAAGGTTCCATATCCCTCAGGCAAAGTTGACAATAGAGGAATAGATTTTCCCTTCTGATCATATACCTCACGAACATATTTATAGCTGACTATGCGGTATGGGCTTTGATCAATGTCGTAGGCCTTACGGTGACCTATAGTTGTTAATTTCTATGTCATTTGGTCTCTTGTGAAGAGTTGTCTCATTGGCAATCATACCACATCTTCTTTTTTATATTATGTATTTATTGTGGTTGTGGTTGGTTGTGGTTGGTTGTTGTTTGTCATATTTGTTCTTCGTTTTATCATAAAGTTTTCGAATTATTTTTCATTTTTTTTATATTGTCATATCGGGACATTTAATAGCTGAATACACGGTGTGGGGTTTTGTTATTTGCGTAAGGCTGTGAAGTAATATATAGTTGCTTTCATCCACGTCATTTGGACTCATGGTGGATAGTTGTCTCATTTGAAATCATACCACAACTCCTTACTATAGAATATTTTAATCTAGTGTCATCAATAAATTTTTTTTACAGTTAGCCATTTTAGAACATTAAATTTTTTATGCTTAGAATGGCACATTCGACAAGGCAAATATTGCTACATACTTATGAAAAGTAGTGGGCATTAGGGTTTCTGGACTGTTTGCACGTCCTCCCGTCCGTACCGTACTGTGTCGAGTTAAAGTTTTGGTTTACGGTAGGTTAAAGTTTTGGGTGTTGTTAAGAACTGAACCTCTAGATAACTTTTTGTGTAAAAATAGAGAAAATTTCGTATTTTAAAAATTTAACCAAATCTGTAAAAACGTTGCAGCTTCGAAACGGACCATCATACGTGTAAATGGAAGAAAATGCTACCATCACTGCCTACTTGAAATGAACTGAGCGAATTGACCCTGTTTGTTACTATTATGTGGTGTTACAAGACGGTCTCAGGTAAGGGGAATGTTGAGCGCTCACAGACATGTTTTGGATAAACATTCTTTATTTGGTCTCTGGTTGATAGACGTCTTATTGACAATCGATACAACATCTCCTTACTTTTATAATAATATAAGGCAACATATCAACGACAACATTACTCCAATGATAGTGTGTTTTGCAACATACACAAATACAATATGTTTAGTTTAAAAGGATTATATATGTAATGTATCTATCACAAAAGTACAATATAATTTTTTTTTTATTATAAAACATATAATATCAAATCTTAATTATAATATCTTGGATACATCACAGTATTATCTGTAGCTGTATACATTTATATGGCATACATTGTTAGAAGTCATTTCATATCTCATAAAAGTTTTTCAAAAATAAAATCACAAGCCTGACGGAGCTTAAATAATAGAAATATCCAAAGATTCGTATGATATAATGCAGTGGAACTGATTCTGTAGCAACACAATTTCTATTGTTACTTCCAAATTATTTATTGCATTTCTGTCTAGATTCAATTTTCGATACGAAAGGAAGAACTCACTCTAGGTATAATACCACCAAATCAAAAAAGGGTCTTCAAAAATATTCCCTTGAATTTGACAGTTGTAGGAAATTAATCCTACATTTCACTGCAGTAAAAAATTTCTGAGTCATAAACATATACCTTGGGTGTTTCAAAGCACCATTATTTTTTATTTGGTGTTTCTATAGAATATTTTGGAAACTTGAGGTTACATGGTTACTAAAGCTTGTACACAGGGAAAAATGGGTGAACATTTGATTGGTTAACTTCCAGTGATGGTTATTTCTTATATGCAAAGAAATGTTATGTGAAATTTTGTATTAGTACTGGACAGGATTAAACTTTATTCGAGAAGTAAATGGAAATGGAATTATTTGAGAAGTGTAAATTTATTAAAGACTGATAGGGGGAAATCAATGATGGTATTACACCAATTATGGGAAGCTGCACATGCACCTATGACCTTATGTTTACTCTCTCGTTTGTTAAAATTTCATGCTATTTAAGTGAAATATTACAAAAATGAAATATTCTGAGTGGATTGAGTCTCAAAAACACATTTTATGTGAAAATTGCCTTGAAATAGGACTCTACCATAAATATTAGTAGACAGAGCAAGCCATACTCAGTGTTTTGAGAGCCTTTTCCGACTTTTTCTCCTTATTTCTTATATTTTGCTATAATAGAAAACTTTTTCCTCAGAAACAGTTTAATAAATATAAAGTTATTAGTACATGAATTATTTTTGAAGCGGTAACAACAAATTATTCACTATAAGGGAAGCTTTTTGTGTCCCTCTCTGGAACGCGACGTAAATTTTAGTTTTACGTAAGGACTTATTAAAACCTCCATGGAGTAGGTAAAATTTTATATGGATAGTTCATTCAGCTTGAATACTTCAATTACTCATTTATTATCACATTAAATGAGTGAAAGTTGCCCCAAAATTTTTATTTATTGGCCTAAAAAGTTGAAATTTGGAGGAAATGAGATGTATAAATGGACCAAAAGTGACCTTATAATGAAGACAAAGAGGTCCATTAGTGGTATTTATCATCCTAGAGTCATCTTTTGTATCAAATTCAACTGTTTGCATGCAGATGAAATAAATATTTGGTCATTTAGTGGTCCACACTATATTCTATCATGATGCAGCTTGATTTGGATTTTTCGAAGAAATTTTGCTCGAATCGCTGTAGATGTCGTCTTACATTATACTAGATTTTTCTCAAACTATTGAACTGATTATGACAGTAATGCTTGAAATAACCAGTACTACAAAGTAAAAAATTCACATTCATTTTATTCAACAAAAAAGTCTTCTTTAGGTGTAATACCACCACATCTTAGTACGTCACATCCGGTTGCCTACGAAAAAGGGTTGAAAAAAATATTACATTTGACAGTTGTAGGAAATTAATCCTACATTTCATTGCAGTAAAAAAATCTGATTAATTAACATATACCTTGGGTGTTTCAAAGCACCATCTTGTTTTCATTTGGTGTTTCTATAGAATATTTTGGAAACTTGAGGTTACATGGTTACTAAAGCTTGTACACAGAGAAAAATGGGTGAACATTTGATTGGTTAACTTCAAGTGATGGTTATATGCAATGAAATGTTATGTGAAATATTGTAAATAGTACTAGACAGGATTAAACTTTACTCATGCCAAGTATTTCTTTATTTGAAACAAAGATAAATTCTGCACAATTTTTTGAAAAGTGTAAATTTAACAAAGACTAATAGGGGAAAATCAATGGTGGTGTTACACCTCTATTGAATTTTAGAATAAATAAAATCAAAGATATGCTGAAGGATGTACACCTCTGAGGAGCCAAACATTTATAGAATTAAACTTTTTTTCTCAACCTGAATTTTTCCTTTATATGACTGTAAGAAAGTAATTGATGACTAAAAAATCATATTGTGGTGCACTTCTTTTTTTGCTGCGGCCATTTGTCCATTTGTCCATTTTGGAGTTATTATCATGAAAAAAAAATTCACAGTTTCACAATTAAACTTCCACTTAAGATATGTTGACCAATCTGAATAAATTTAACTTAAAAAAACTATAGTTTGGTGTTAAGATTAGAAAGTTTTAAAAAATTTTGTTGCTTTTTCGTGTCAAATTGACCATGCTGTCAAATTTGTCAAATTTGGATTTTTTTCTTTTTTTTTTTTTTAGAACAAAATGCATATTATGTCAACTTCGTTGTTATAAATGATTGGAAAAATACATATCTAAGAATTTTGAAAAGAAAAAAATGATATGGGATGTTCATATTTTTGGTAAAATAATTTCTTTTTACCCCTCACCCATTCTCTCAACATTTTGGTTGATGACATTGACCGGATTGGTTATAAAATTTGGAAATTTTGTTTATAAAAAACTGCTTTTTGTAAGTAAAGAATTTTTTCACAGAGTTAAGTTTTGTTACAATATTTTTAAAATTCATTGATATTTTCCTCTTGTATCATATGTTTTGGAAATAATTCCAGAATGAGATTTCAACGAGACTGAAACATCAGAAGAATACATCCCTAACATGTTCAAGTAATTCAATAAAACAATAATAGTTATCTCCACGTCAGTTCAGCTTACAAAATAAAAGATAAGATTGTTCTTGAATATCCTTTAACTAAATATATTAAAATTATTTCAAGTGATTAAAAGAACTATTTAGATAAACAGTGTAGCATCTCTACCACAATACAACTGCCAATTATTAGCAGTTAATACACAATAAAAAGATATGACTACAACATTTTTTTTGTTGGCGTCTTTGTTAGATTAATTTGTACGTTTGTTTGAATTTGCTAGAAAGTTGTGTTGTATATCTGTGATTGTGTATGTTTACACAGTTTTTGGTTTTTGGATCCCAATTATTGTCACATTTACCTATAATTTCTGTTGTGGTTGCTTACTCAATTTTGTCAATATGATGGAACTATGAACAACGGTTATGCAAGTTGGAGGTTTAGCTAGCTATACAATAAGGTTTAACTCACTATATTCTTCCGAAAATATCTGTACCAAGTTAGGAATACCCTTTTTGAATTTGTCTTGAAGCTTGGTATTTTTGTTACACTTCTATATATATATATAAGATATTAACTCAGCGATTATCATTATATTATAGAACGATGTTCCATTCTTATATTCACAGATTTTCCAAATAACAAAATATATGATATTCACAATGAGAACAAGTTTAAACACAATACTTCGGAAGAAATTGTCTAGTTAGATAAGGGCAGTTTCATTCCACGTGAAATCAAGTATTTATACTTTATATAGCTGAAATCGAAAATGAAGATGTCGATTTCAAAGTAGTTACCTCTTAAAATACTTAGCATATTGCAATCATTATTGTACATATTTATCATGGGACAATCATTATTACATTTCTATCATATATCAATATTTCAAGATATTTTGTCAACTATGTTTTTCAAGGAATAATAATTTGCGTTTTTTATTCCAAAAAACATTATCGTTTGCACGAAGTACTCGAAAATTGGCAAAAATAGTGTTGACTGATTAAGGTGACACATCTAATAATTATATAATCTTGGGTTGCTTTCATGGGCAGTTTTCATACGAAATGAAAGCACACGACGAAATTCCATGATTTATCTTTCCGCTAGTAAAATCATATGAATTGCATCAGTAAATATTTTACACATGAGTTAATTTACATAAAAATAAACATTGGGTACACTCTGATAATATTATAAGATGTAAAAATACATACAAAATATATTAAAAACACAGAAGACAAAATTCAAATAATAGCGGTTGTTGTTATGTTTTTCATTGACGATAATGAGAAACAACTGAAATTCTGATACTTTCATAAATGGGAAAAAAATGAAATCTACACTTGTATTGTTTTGCCTGGACTATGTTTTAAATAGAAACGGAATGATAATGCCAGTGCGTTTGTGAAACAGCTTTTTCGATTGCTTTTTGTGCATCGTATTAAAGATAAAAAAGTTTGAAATAGCCAAGACAAAACTTTGCAAATTGTTATGACAATGATAGAAAATGATTTGTACATATCCATTCAAGTTCATATCTTCCCTTCTACGATAATTTCTTTTTGCAAATCCAAAACTGGAGCATAGTCAAGGTTATTGAAATGTAAACACCTGCTTTTACTATGGTAATCTATGTTTTTTCTTCTTTATATATTCATTTAAATGAACAACTGCATATTCCTTTAAGGAAATGAAACTTGCGTTAATATAGCATATTGTCAAGGTCATGATTTTAGACTGCTTATATGACATGGTTATACTAATACACAATCCGTCGAAGGTGTACGAATTGACATTTTTGTCTAGGAGAACATGGATTATTAAGTGGTTGAAAACATCGCACGAGCTTTCAGTAGCTACATGTAGAAGTGCTCTTTCGACTGTACTGTGTGTTTTTATTAGTGTATGTGCTAACTGGTTTTAAAAGTTTGTTCATATGTTGTGTTGTTTCATCCACAGTTCCAGGATATTGGTTTAAGTGAAAACATGGTGACCACATCACATTTTTTATGGACACGTTCCAAGCCAGGTCCCTAACTTCAGTGGTTGTTGTTGTTAAGGTCTGTTTAATTGTTTTTCTTTCTTTATAAAAGTTTCAGTATCAATCAGGTTATTGGTTTTCTCTTTTTAATTGTTTCAAATTTTGTTATGCTGGGGCTTTCTATAGCTTAAGATACGGTATGTAATTTGGTCATTGTTGAAGGTAGTACGCTGACCTGTAATTGTTTGTCACAATTTTGTCCTATAGTCTTTACTGATAGTTGTTGCATTGCTATTATGAAAAATCTAATTGTTAAACTAACAAAACAAGTGTTCATTTGGTTTCTAATAAAAAAAAGATAATACAAACAATCTTATATTCTGTTTTTTTTTTTTAAATACACATACAATCATAGTTTTATTGTATATGAGTGATTATATACACAGCCGTCTGGATGAATTGTTGTTTTTCCTATCAATGCGTTGACATGCGTTCAATAACTTTTGAAATAAATATTAACTATCCTTTCTTTTTTTCATTTGCAATTAAAATCGTTATGATAATGATCTTATAGTGTTGAAAAAGGTTACATATACGTATGGTCATGACCATTTGCGTATACTCCTATTGTTCTGACCATATGAGTATATACTCGTTTGGTTATAAACGGCCCGGACCATACGAGTATTTAAACAATATAGGTATATTTCGGATAATTTATTACTGCCTTCGAAGGAACACACAGCTCATTCTCCGAACCAAATCAGCACAAATCATTGACTTATTGTTAGTTTTATTTCATGAGTGATTACATACAAAGCCAAAACACTTTGTCTTTTACATATTGTCCGAATCTTGATGAATCTGTTACATTGTTTTTGCTAGAGTCAATTAAAAATGCTTTTATCCTGTCGACATTTTTATATCTGTAAGTGAAACAACAGGCGTTTTGGGGCATATAACTTTTTCTTTTTTCCCCTGTGTTAACATGAGTTTATCTATGTTTTTGTTTCTTCTAATTTGTACTTGTTTTCACTTAACTGATGTATTCTTGTTTCTATTCATTCAATTTTATCATAACAGTAGTTTATAAATGAAAACCTTACAATAAATTGAAATATTTAATAAATTTTAATTTACTAAACACACATTTAAACGCCAAAATAAAGAAGAAAAAAGAGGATACAATGCCCGAATTATTTGTGAGTAAAACAGTTGACTACTTGTGTAACTATTCATTTAGATATCGCTTGAAATTATATTTAAAAGTCGAAGCCGCCGTAATGTGTTTCATAAGGAAAACTCGATATTGACCAATTAAACTATCCATTACTTAAATAACGTCAATATAATTCACTTTATTTTATTAATCACGACAAAACGATTACCATTCAATTAAATGAGACAACATTCAACGTATTAATCTCCCGGAACATACGGACCATACGCGCATGGTCGGAACATATGAGTATATACGTATGTGATCATTACCATACGCGTATGGTCCAAATACTGATATGGTCCGTATCAAATACACAAATGTATTACGAAAAATGGAGTCTCGCTATACTCACCAAATATCCAAAAGAAATTTTCTCTCCTCTAATGTGCTGATCAACTCCCCATATTGCCCACATTAGATGTACAGCTAATTCACATATTTCAGTTTCATGCAATAATCTGTTTACGTCGCCTTCTGTTGGATCTCCCGTATTTGATCTTGCCATTAAATATGCTTCACAAATCTGTTTCTGTTAAAGGAAGGACGGAGAAGATTATGTCTGAATAACACTTAAGATATACGAAGTTTGGCATCGTTTTTATCAAAAAAATTGTTGATTCACTCTTATTTGTGGTGTGTACCAGTTTTCTTCGATTTCATGGGTATTGGTTGACCACGAAAACATGTCCAACATAATTTTAGATTTTATCGTCTTGTATAAAGGCTTTGGCAATTCAACGAAATCCAAAAGCAACGATGACACACATTTTCATCACGCGACGAAAATTGATACTCACGAAAGTAAATGATTCCACAACATGAAGGAATTGTTTTGTTGTACTCGTAAACTTTTACGCTTCACTAATTTTATATGCATATTTATTGATTTTGAGTATGCTATAATGATGTAAACATTGGGTTTTTTCACCAGAAGGAAGAGATGATCAAAAATTGCTGTTGACGGAGGTGAATATCTACTTTATTTTACGAAAATGATAGATTTATTATCATGAATTCAGGCTTTTAATGTATAATGTACATCTTTTGTGCAGTCTCTTGATATGTTTACTCTATGCACACTCGATGAAAGTCGCCTCTGGCAAGGCAAACTTCTTTTGTTCAGAGGACACAATAGTCATATGATTACCATAATGTTGATAAAATATTTCAAGAGCAGTGCTATATTTCTTTACATGAAACTACACAGTAAACTCATTAAAACATGTGCGGTCATGTTTGTTTATAGAGATAACATTAACGAATACAATTAAGAAGATCCAAAAATATAATTAATATAAATCGAAGAAACACTGATGACATAAAAATCACAAGAAAAATAACCCAGTTCACAAAATTATGAACACAGAACTGAAGATTGAGCAACAATCTTATAAAAGGGATTATCATTGATGTATAAAAGGACCATCAGATTCAGTTCTGCCGAATGTGTAATACTCGCGAGTGTTAATGTTTCTAAAATTTGAGTAGTAATTTAATCTATTATAAGACATAGCACAAAAACAAATTGATTAACTCCCTTTGTCCTACCCAAAGAAATAAAATACTCTAAATCTTTGGTACACGTAATTTGACAAACCGTTACACGTGACCGAAAGTGAAAGTTTAAGATAACAAGTAGTTTTTTCCACCACAATCAAATTCTTTTCTTAAAATAATAAGTAACATTACATCTTCAGATATAATATACATGTACTTAAATCGGCCAAAACTACGATGTTCATCAGTAAATTAGAATATATCCATTAAAACATTGCAATGGCACCATCACTGATCCGATGTATCAAAATAAAACAGATACGGTACCGTAGTTGTCTCATTGTCATTTGTACCACATTGTTTTTATATCAATAACGGTAATGAAATAAAAGTTAAGAGAACGCGATTATTCATTACTAATTTATAACAGAAACACTCACTCGGATTTCTGGATCAGGATAGTCCACGTTGTTGAACTTGAAATATGGAGTATCTGGTACATTCCGGTATTCAATACAACATTCAATAAACAGCATACTTAAATCGTAGGCTCTAGTATCAAATAATTAAAATCTTCATCATCATCGTAATAAAAGAATTTGGGCAACAGTATACAAACTGAACAAAAAATTATGGAACATCAATACATTGCAATTATGTTAAAGATTCCAAAGCGTAACTTCCTAAAAATATATCTGGAAATCTTTCCTATTTTTGATTGAAGAGGAAATGCTTAAACTTGTTAGGGAAGTCTATGAAGTCTAGACAGAGGCTTATTCTTACAATGTAATGTCACTTTAATCGAACTGTTGAAGATTGAACTGCAAGGACAAAATTTTACAGATGTATCTTATGACAATCCGTTTTTTATATTTTATTTTATTTTCAAGATATCATATACAGTTAACAAGATATCTTATAAACTCAAAACGATTTCTTCAATATAAGCTAAAAGAGGGACGAAAGATACCAGAGGGACAGTCAAACTCATAGATCGAAAACAAACTGACAACGCCATGGCCAAAAATAAAAAGACAAACAGACAAATAATAGTACAGATGACACAACATAGAAAACTAAAGACTAAGCAACACGAACCCCACCAAAAAATGGGGGTGATCTCAGGTAAATATGATATCTTATAAACTATTTTGGATATCTTACAAATTGAATAAGATATCCTGTTAAAAAGTTTACAGAGATATTGTTTTTTAGTTTATTGGTTGAGATGAAGAAAAAAACAATTACGGAATAATTATTTCTTTGTTTTCGTTATTTTTGTGCATATTGTGCTTTGTGTCATGAATTGATACGACATCATATTCTTAAAAATCTTAAATGTATTTCTTATAAGGCTAGCGCACAACTTTTTAATTGTTGAACAACATGAATGACAGCAATAACATGTAGGTTAAAATTTACCAGCTCCATAATATTCAAGGGTAAAATCCATAAAAATGCAGAAACGAGTCGAATAAAAATTTTAAAATGGGTGAATGGACCACAACCACCATCAATGTTACATGCACCGCTATCATCACCACCAACAACAACACTCTCAGACAAACATTCTCACACACTGTATAATTGTAAACACTCTAAAAGTAAAGTAGAAGATACCAAACCGAAATAATACAGTACACAATATTCGGAAAAGCAGTTTGATCTATAAACAGGTGAATACACAGATGAATCTTTTTGCAAACCATTGTCAAATTATGTTTAAACTAAACGGGTGTTTGCTTGATTTAATAGCTACCGGTAGTTGTAGGCACTGTATTCGAAATCTATCAATTTCAAACTGGCTAGAAGGTCGGTTTCTTCTGTAAGGCGCAGTATATCTCCTAAAATAAAAATCTAGTTGTAGCCTAATTGTATTAATATCTATTATTTAAACCTTGCTTAGAGGTGCTGATTCTTACGGAGCCTTGAAGACCTTAGTTTGTTGGTTAGACCGATATGTTTAACCTTTTTTGCAGAGTTGATGTTGTTTCACAAATATCGTATACCAAGAACTACCAAGAACTAATTTGGATCCTAACGAATTTTGTTGTCTGTATAAAACAAGATTTGTTTATTTCTAAATAGTGGCAACCTGAATAGAATAGAATCATGATTGTCATACGTTTTGTAATTGTTTTGTTTTGTTTTTGTGTTCAAACTGTAATATATGACGTAAAAGTATTTAGATTATGCAAAAGCAAATTAACAAACATGATATATATGTATTGGTAAACCTTTTGGTTTAGTATCAAATATATTAATAATCATCCACTGCACCCCTCTCCTTAAAATCCGAGATTTAAACTTATGTTTATACCAGTTTTGTGTCAAGAATATGCTCTCTCTTTTGACAAAACTATTGTATCATTATTTTTATCATAATTATTATATTAGTGAAATTCCTGTTTAGGATTAATTACCATACTTTCAGTAATTGGAAAGGAGATTAGAAAGTAGGTTTCTTACCTTCTGTCAAACCGTTGTGTGAAAATACAACTTCTGATTTCAAATCAACAGTAGCCCTTCTAAAATAAGAAACTTCATCCGTGGAATAGAAAATATTTAAACCAGATAATAAGATAATAATAACCTTTTAATATTCGTTTCCAGCATTAGCCGGAATTTCAATGATTTTTTTTATAGATACTACATTTTTTGGGAATGTTTTTTCTTTCAGCAGACAGTTTTCATTTGAGTGGGAACCATCTGTTTTCCACTTATCGTCGATCTACACCGGAGTCCTTTATATCTTTTTAAATGATAGCTTTTTCTGACAAAAAAAAAAAAAAATGAAAACAACAAGTTATAAATTTCATGCGTCCGAAGCGCTCTCCTGGATTTACCTTCATCAGGAACGCTCAAAGCCGAATATTTGAAAGCCGAGGATGTATAAAACCGAAATAGTTGAAGAGCTATATAATAATACAAATACCTCAAATTAGCCAATTCTTTCTAATGCCAATTTTGCCTGAGGGAGTTACAACCTTAGTTTTTTTTACAATTTCAAAATTTATAAACGGGCTATTTATAAAGGTTCATTATCAATCATGTCAGTAACCAAGACCACTGAACTGATGATACCCTCGAGCTGATAGTCCACCAGCAGAGGTATCACTCCAGTGCTGTAAAAAATGAAAACAATAAGTTAAAAATTTAATGCGTCCGAACCGCTTTTTTGGATTTACCTTCACCAGGAACGCTCAAAGCCGAATATTTGAAAGCCAAGGATGTATAAATCTAAAAAGTTGCCTTTATTTCATGAGTAAAGCGAACCTCGAATTCGTATGCTTCGAAAAAGAGGCACGAAAGATACCAGAGGGACAGTCAAACTCATAGATCGAAAACAAACTGACAACACCATGGCCAAAAATAAAAAGACAAACAGACAAATAATAGTACAGATGACACAACATATAAACTAAAGACTAAGCAACACGAACCCCACCAGAAACTGGGGGTGATCTCAGGTGATCCGGAAGGGTAAGCAGATCCTACTCCACATGTGGCACCCGTCGTGTTGCTTATTTTATTACAAATCCGGTAAGTAGTCTATTTTGGTAGGTCACATTCGTGAAAAGGGAAGGGTATTGTAGTTACGACATAAGGAACATATCCGATATCATCTGTGAAACGGTTATTCCATAACCAACTCGTCATGGCGTCCGTAAAATTTACGAAGGGATGATATCAACTTCACCATTTGGAACTCTTGGTTTAATAGCTTCCTTGTTTCCTTCATGATAGGAAATACAAGCCCGGGAATATCGTATCAATTGGGGGATATATACTTTGTATGCAGGCGCTGTTGGAATGTTGCTATATAAAAATGGAATGTTCACAATAGGGAAACTGAAATCATCTCTTTTGTCGTAAAGTTTTGTTTTCAACCGACCCTCGTTGCAATTTCTAGATGTAAGTCAAGATATGAGGCAGACTTAACTGTATCTGTAGTATCCTTTATCTCTAGTTCGATGGGATAGATTCGTTCAACATAGTCACAAATTTTGTATTATTTAGTGAGAGAACATCATCTATATAGCGGAACGTAAAGTTAAAGGATATTGCTAACTTCTTATCTTTCTTCCTAAGAAGTTCCTGTATGAAGTCAGCCTCATAATAATAAAGAAACAAGTCGGCAAGAAGAGGGGCACAATTGGTTCCCATTGGAATTCCGACAGTCTGTTGAAAAACAAGTCCTCCAAACGTAACAAATTTGTTGTCAATCAAGAAATCAAGCATGTCAGTTTCAGAGAATTTTTTGTTTGAATCTGAGTTATTCTTTACAAAGTAGGATTTATCCCTCCCCAAGACAAGATACTTGTATCTACGTTCGCCATTCCTTTTAATGAAACTGAGTAAGACCAACTCTTTCAATTTGTCTTTTAGTTTGGAATAGCCAAACATCACGTCTACTTAAGGCTTGTTTCCAGAATTAGCAAAAACTACGGAATCGCTGAATTAATCAACAAATATCTATGTCTAATTCGCCTGAGTGAGAAACTTTGTCTTTCTGTTTCTGGCGGCGTTTAAAAAATATTCGGTGTGTAGTTGTATGATCACAAGCACATCTCATATCTCATATCCATTTTTTTTAGATTATTTGCCTTCCCTTGCCATATTCATGGCATATTGACGTTTGAAAATTAACCGTAGATTAATGTTAAAGTTTTTGATTTTGTGATAGACAATTTGTGGTGAACCACTCAAGACATACCCCTGATTTTAGACACTCACTTGTGACCAAAATTATATTACAAATAGCAAACAGTACACGTGTGGATAACACTAATTGTAATTATCAGACTGAGTAGTTTGCGATTATGAGTTTATTTTTTAGAAAATTGAATTCTTGGATTAGTGAATTCGTTTAATTTGTTCGCTTTTAATGTAAATATAAAACAGAAAGAAAAGGAAACATATGTTTTTCTAAGCGTTACATGTATTGGTCTTTATGCGGGACGGCTGACAGAACTGCGTTCTTTCCCGGAGTACATGATTTTATTCTAGATGTTGAGTGAATAAAGTGTTGCTGGATCGTTTTTATCTGTGCAGTATCTTATATAATTGCTTGTTTATTTTTATTTTTCCCAAGATGCTGTAGCTCCTTTGTCTCCTTCGTTATCTGTTGTTTGTTTATTTCAATCGTGGTATATTCCTTATATTTCTTATGCATAGCGCCTAGCAAGCTTGAACTTACCTTACTTCCCTCAGATTATGTCTAAAGTCAAATGAATCAATTGTCCTGACAGTACCTTGAGTTATTTCAGTGGTTAACAGCCAACTAAAAATAGATAAACAGCAATGTTGACAAGCTTTAACATGATGAATTCAAGCAGTAAGGTCTAGATCACTCGCCTGTTGAAGAACATCCACCAGAGCACCGTCAGCTTGTGATATGGCAACTTAGATGGTAAATTTGATTTGCCTCCTTTTGGATAGAAGCTCAAATTTGGAATACAAGATTAGATAAAGACAAGATGTGTACTTCCACAAGGATTGTTAAAATACACATACATTCATAAATACGTGTATTTTCACAAAAAGATGTCATGTACAAAATCTTTCTTGTCTTATAACTTGAATCAATTATTTTGTCAGGATTAATCTGAATATATATATAGACATAATTACTCTAAATATCAGCACAACAATGTTAAATCTGCAAATTTGCAGAAGCAAATTTTTGTTCTTCCCTCGCCGGGATTCGAACTCATCAATTGGGATATCGAGACAACACCGCCTGCAATGTGTCCATCGCTCTTTTTATTCTTTTTACCTTTATCTGCTACTATGTATACTAAAAGTAAAAAGACTAAAATATTTATCGATTCTAAATATTTTGTATAGAACTAGATAAATATGTGATGTCCCCATGGTATACAGGTATAGATGGGGTGTTTATATATTAGAGAGTAATGGACAAAAACTTTCATCATAAATGCATATAATGTACACATGTTAATATCGATTCATTACATTTGCGCGGATTTGCATAACATTTGATTGATAAAAATGCCGAGAAATATCATTACGTTTGTGAAGATTTAAAAATTGTAATTTAAAGGGAAATATGACATTTACAATCTTTTGTCCCTGTCAAAGTACTTGTGAGATGGCTTTATATAGCAGTAGTCCCAGATGGTGGTAAAATGTTCATCAGTCCTAACACTCATTTATAAGCAGTAGTTCTAGTTCTGGTTCCAATAAAATCATGATTTTTGTTCAAATGACACGAACAAATCGCATCCATAATCGCTCAGTATAAAGTATATACTATGACTTCACATCAAGTTATTAGCAAGGTTAATATACGTTTAGATCTGTAGGTTAAATTCGCGCAAATTTAATATTTCTTTTTTTGCGCAAATGTTCTGTCTAACTGATAACCCCCAAATCCGCGCTAATGTTATACGCCCGTTTATATTGTCTATTTCCTGTTTCTGTCTGGCTTTGCATGGCACATTTTGTAAATTTTTGTTGTCCGATTTTAGCAAATATAGTTCACGTTCCATATTTGTGCTTATAAATCTTCCTTCTGCTTTATCATAATCTCGCCAACAAAATAATGCTTTTACTTAACGGAAAAATACGAAATACGGAAATCCATGTGCACTTAGAATAATATCTGAACCTCACCAACCTGCTTTATAGTACGACTTCGAGGAATATATCAACAATAAAACCAATAAATTAAAGTATACATACCGTTGAATGTTTGCAATTCTCCTGAAATCAAAAGAATGAAAATATAATAACACTGAAATGCTTATACTTAAGAAACAAATATATTTCCGACGATTGTGACCATAGTATCATTATGGTCAGAAACATTGGAGTCAAGTTTACATTAAGGCTAAAATAAATTTACCTATCCGTACTGGTAAATTACATATACATTTATCTTTATCAATGTTTGATATAAAATATAAAATTAGAAATAAATGTCACTTATAAATAAGTTAAAAAATACGGCCTACACAAAACTACGCTCATTTCAAAACAATACCAAAATTAAAAAGAAAAGAAAAAGCTTGAAGTTTTACATCATTTTACGGTAATAAGTTTACGGTTTAGATAGAGCAGAGTTACAAGATTAAAGATTTAAAAGGCTGTAGCTTTTAATTCACGTCAAAAACAAATCTCTGAAAAAAATTAATTGGATTATGTACTGGCATGAAATTACGGATTTTGTGTTATTAAAATTTGTTCTTACAAAATTTTTGAAATTATTTAAAATTAAGGAATGTATCTCCCTAATGCAAAGCTCTGATTCCTTGCCCAGCTTTGGCAATACTTTTTTGTCCTTTTTGATTTATAGCGCTTCATGTTTTTAATAAGCTTTGGTTTTTCAAATATTTTGTCCTCGAACATCATTGAACAGACATTGATTGTCTAAATGAGCATCTGGTGCAGAAAAATTGGTACCGTTTATGCTATTACTACCACTGGGTCGATGCCTCTGCTGGTGGACTAATAGTCCCCGAGGTTATCACCAGCCCAGTAGCCAGTACTTCTGTACTGGCATGAAAATACGGATTGTGTGTTATTAAAATTTGCAGTTACAAAATTTTTGAAATTACTTAAAATTAAGTAATGTATCTCCCTCATGCAAAGCTCTGATTCCTTGCCCAGCTTTGGCAATACTTTTTTGTCCTTTTTGGTTTACAGCTCTTCATGTTTTAATAAGCTTTGGATTTTTAAATATTTTGGCCTCGAGCATCACTGAAGAGACATTGGTTGTCTAAATGCGCATCTGGTGCAGAAAAATTATTACCGTTTATGTTATATAACATACACGATGTTTTAAAAACTTACTTAGTGCTATGAAAGTCATATTATACCTCAAATCAAAATAAAATTAGATATGTTTTATATAATTTTAAATTACTATAAAACAAGTGTACATGAACTTTATTACAAAAGAATACTTTATCTTATTAAAATCTTCCACAATGTACTGCTAGTAAATTATTGTTGTCCCGTATTCTAGTTCGAAGATAGTTTTTCCGTATGCCTGGGAGGGAAACCCGTGATTAAGACGGTAGACAACGCCCAGAGGTGTTAATTGATTCTGATCTGAGAGAATAAAAAGAAAATAACTTTCCATCCCATTTAACAACTATTTTGACAAAGTTAAGAAACAAATGGAAACGCATAGAAAATATATGAAAAAAAATTAACTAAGCCACCGAAAAAAAAACAAACCGAAACACATGACTCACCGATGACTGTTGTAGTGACTGACTTTCACAGTAGAAAGATTTAAAAGGCATTACAGACATCCTTATAGAACAACTGGACTCGAACCAAATCGAGGGCATATAACAATGGCTAATTGAATCAATATGGAATACGACAACATTTCCGTCAAACAAATAGGTCATCAGCAAAGACAGATCAGTTATTTGTAAGATAGTGGTATCTTTGGCAATGAAAAAAAAACCCCAAAAAACTGCGACTCCATTCAAGTCAAAATGTGTGGACAAGAATCTGCCCTCATTATTTGTTTATATATGGAACCCTTCATTTATTATAAACTGATTTGGAAAACAAACAACTAAACAAGTATAATCAAGCAATAACAAGGCAATTAAAAACGCATGTGGAATCAAACCCTTCATACATCAACTTAAAAAAACATCAATTTAACGAAACCAAGTCAGATAAGATTTCTTGACATAATACAACAATGGCATTTGGAGCAGATTGTCCCATTTCCCTATAGACCAGTCTTGACAATAAACCAAACTTGCGTGTCCCAAGCAAGCTGCCCTTCATCCAGTGATTTTTCTAAATTGCTGTTTGCCGTTTATCCTTATAATGTGCATTCTTTGTCTTTTCCTGGTCGATTTACGAGATTAAAACATCGGTAAAATACACTGTGTCTAAACTAAACCGGCAAAAAATGTTTGGACTCAATAGTATCTAACATCCGGTACGGTGTCGGACAATCAACAGATAGAGAAAAGGTAGAATTTCTGTTTATCTATTTGTTGTTTTAATGATATTGAAGAATATACATACACATATAACTATTTTCTATTGTGAGATGTAATATTTTCTACAACCGTTCTAGATTAATGGAGAAATAAGTAAAAAGGCACATCAAAATGGTGAATTGAGTGAACCTTACCTCGATTTGTTTAATTTCTCTTTAAACTGATGCACATTGTACGGAAAGAAAGATATTAACACGGAGACTGCAAGACTAGTCACTATGATCACCTCAATATTTGCATTTCTGTACGTGGAACGAAAGAAATGAGTCATGTCAAAATTGAAGGACCCGGTTTTGTCAATGTGTACGAACCGGTTACGTCCTAAAACTTCACAAAGCAGACCCGGTTTTGTCATAGAAAATAATGCATAATCTCATGACGTAAATTAAAATCTGGCGTTCGACAGGAGTTTGAGGGTTTGTTAAAATACAATTACTTTCAGAGGATAACTTATAACCTGTTTGAATCCGCAAACACTTGAATTCCTGCTATATTGGAACAAAACTAATTTCAATTTTGTTTTGTATATAAAAAAAAACTAATACTCTAACGGGGAAATACAAAAGAAATGAAAGTTTTGTAACGCAATTGGATTTTTTTATATCAATTATGTAAATTTAAGTGTTCAAACTTTAATAGTGTAGGGCCTTGAAAATTGAAGGACGCACATTTGATATGTGATTTTCTGGGACAACAAGATGGTTAACTTAATGTTCCGCTCTACCTAAAGGGGTGAGGCAGTATGATCGCTGGAATATAAATATTCTGAAACTAAATGTTCATTATAAAGCAAGAGAATAAGACAAATGTATATGCATGCAGAATCGTCCTAGAAAATGAATTTCCATGCGGCGCAAAGGATCACAATAATGCGTTAAAAATCTTTTTACGGTCCTTGTTACTATAATACTTAGTATAAATTAGTATAGTAGTCTCAGGCTATCCAGAAATTGCAATAATGATTATTTTATTAACAATTTTATAAATAAACGGTTTTTATCTCTTCATTGTGTAATGATTATCGCACATTGACAAATGTTCCACAATTAAGGCACGTTGGACAAGTTTATAATTGTCAATATGCAAGTGCGGACCGAGGACTTTTGGAAGGGGCGTATTCATAAAACGGATTTTATACACCCGAGCGTTGCGATTTGATGCTAAAAAATCATATATAAATCGTGAAAAAAACCTGATAAAATAATTATTTCTAGCCACCAAAAAGGAGACAGCGTACTCACTCTACACCCCTGGATCCGCCACTGATACAATGTAGTTATATCGTATACCATCATACAAATTTAATAAAAAACGAATAAACAGAGACATCCGCCAATCGCACATTTACTATAGAGGCTCTTTAATCAAATGAGTTAAGCCTTTTTCAACTGACTGATTTTTATAGTTTTTTTTCTATTGTGCTGTTATACCACTTTTTATTGGGAAAGGGGAAAGGGGGGGGGGGGGGGGGGGGTGTGGCGCTAACACCTTCAACCCCGCCACTCTTTCGTCTTGCAATAGTTTTAAGTTATTATCATAATCTACGTTTTGACACTTTACACAAGTATTTCCCTTACCAATATCAAAGAGAAATCAAAAGACTTAGCCCTGCTTTGTTTCATAAAAAGAATGGCCAACGTAGACAAATGTATCTTAACGTAGGAAGGGATCAATCGTTCTTGTAAAAAATCACTCTGATTCAAACAAAAAGTTCTCCGAAACTGATATTATCAAGATGCTTTATTTCTTGATTGACAACAATATTTGTTATGTTTGGGGACTGCATGTATACAAATAATTGGTATTCTCATGAGAAACAACTGTGCTCCTACATATTTCACACTTTATTCATACGAGGGAGAATGAAAAGAAGCTAGCATTATCTTTTAACTTCTTTTCTAGCTATACTATACAGATGATGCCCTATCAATAACTAATTTAAAATTTGGTGACTATGTTGAACGCTTCTACAGGATCAAACTTGAAATAGACAAGATACAGTTAAGTCTGCCTCGTGTCTTCACTCACATCTAGAAATTGACAATTAGGGTTGAGTTGATTTCAGATTTCCAATTGTTAACATTCCATTTCTATGTAGCAAAATGCCATCAACGTCTGCATATGGAGTATATATCTACCAGTTTATACGATATTCTATGGCTTGTGTTTCCTACTATGAAGTTATTAAACCAAGAGTTCCACTTGGTGAAGTTGAAGTCATCCCTTCGACAAATTTATTGACGCCATTACGAGGTGGTTGACCGGTATTGAATATCTGTTTCACAGATATTTTCCAATCATCGTAACAACAACCCTGTCATGCTTTTCCCCCTAATGTGACATACCGAATAAGACTTATCACCAGATTTGTACTTACATGAGCAACACGACGGATGCCACGTGTCGAGCAGGATCTGTTTACCCATCCGGAGGACACGAGATCACTTAAGTGCAACAGCATGAACATTGAGAAGATACAACCATGTATTTCACCTTTATAAGAATGACATTTGCTAGACACAATGCAATAATGAAACAAACCCCCTAACATTGATTTTTACAGTCTTGTAATTTTGCACTGACACTATCGTCCCAGGCTAGCGGGAGGATTGCACGCTCGAAAAGATGTTTAAGCAGGCCTTATTCAATATGATCTCGGATATTAAAAAGGATATTTTTTAATACATGTAATACCAATCGGAGATATCATGAAGAGCTGATTATATATAATGACGATGACAATGGCAGCATCTTTACCGAGAGGAAAGTTTAAATTTACTTCGATAAGATGTCGAAGTTACTGGTTCCCGAATTCAAGAATCATTTGTATGTCTATAGAAAGCGGTTGCAAGGTTAGGATTAATAGTACCTGTAGTAAAGTTTACGACAATGCAAACGTCCTTAACTAAATATTACGTTGCCATTTTGGACAAAGTTGTATATTTCAATTTGGATATACCCCGTAATGTACTATTCCGACACGCTGAGTATATGTTGTAACAGGATAGATAAATCTGTAATAATTACCATAAGCACATAACTCTGACACATACTGTGACTATAATGCGGTCAATCCGTGCTTGTTCACCAAAATTTTAAATGCTTTGCGAAGAAGTAGCTAAAATCCTTTGTTTTCTATTTGCATTTTTGAGATCAAACTGATTTGGCATTCAATGCAAGTACGCTACTATTGCATGAACATACGGATTTTTTGTTATGAAAATTTGCTGTTACCAAATGTTAGAAATTATTTTCAATAAAGGAATATATCTCCCTCATGCCAAGCTGTGATTCTTTGCCCGGATTTGGTTATACTATTTTTACCTTTTTAGATTATAGCTCTTTATTTTTTTTTATATTTTGATTTTCAAATATTTTTGATTCGAGCATCATTGAAGAGACATGTGTTGTCGACATGCGCATCTGGTGAACGCAAATTCAGAAAAGTTTGTGCCAAATAACGATACTTACGGAGCACAAAAATCAATAAGAAACGTTGGTGCTTTTGGCAGTGGCATATCTTGTTCATGAATTTCAGCTAATTTTCTCGCTATCAGCTCGGCATATGTTCCGGACGTCAGGTCAGACCTCTGTAGATGTTCACACTAAATCATAAAAAAACAGTAAACATTATTGTGACTTTTAAAGCTGCAACAAATAGTTGATATTTTTCTGCTGTTACCAAACATTGACATTTCTGTTACAGTTTAAATTTGAAGCGGGTAAAATAAGATTACTTTGTTAAGGTGTGTATTGTATGCAAGTCGTTGGCTATGCCCGTGTCTGTGACGTTCTATATTTGAATGAATATCTTCATGAAATAACTGTAAATTATCTAGTAAGTGATTTTGTAAACAAGAACGGGTTCTGACTATTTTCCGCTATCTTCCAGTGAATACAATATCCCAGAGCCGGTGTTTTCTATCATGATTTCCATGAGAGAGGGTTACAACTATTAATCTAATTGTAAAGTTGAATTCAATATTTAGAAAGTTTGAAGTACGCCCCCCAGGAGTGGGATGAACGTTATAGAATACATTTGTCACAGATGATCACGGATATGTTTCAATGGTCTTAACCGAAATCCCTTCTCTTTTTCCTCGAATTTTCCCTTTTTGCATGAATCTTCTCTTTTTTCTCTAATGTGAGAAGTCACCGAATGAGAATCATTATCGAATCAGTACTTACCATTAGCAAAGGGTGCAACATGTACAGCAAGGTCTGCTCACACTTCCAGAAGACCAGATATCACCTGGGTTTTGGGGCTATTCCAATTGCTCAGTCATTAGTTTTATATATACTAGTATTGTTTTGTGGACTTTACTTAATTCATTGTTTTGCCATGGCACTAATAGTTTCTCTCTGTCTTATAAGTTTTTCGATACAAGATATATTCTGACGGTTTTAATCTAGAACCGTACTATGATATAATAATATTCTAAAACAGTAAAGATCATTTCTATGACCGACTCTTTTCACATGGTTTCAGATAATTACGAATTGATCCCAACTGTAAGTAGGAATTCCTGATCAATCATAGGTGTGTTTTATGTTCTGTTGGAAATTTGGCCTAAGATGAATAATTGGATAATCAGAGTAAAAATACCCAAAGGACGATGTGAATTACTTTTATTGAACATTATTTGAAAAGGCTTTGAGCATTCTTATGTCAATCACATTTCTCTCAAACTTGTTTTCTTTTTTTAAGATGCAAATTCATACAGAAGCTCTTCCAAAATTACGATAATCCGTTAATTTCAGGGCATACGATACAGTTTCGATCCCACGGTGATTTTTTTACGAAAATTTGCAGACAAGCTATTATACACCTAGTTAATTAAAATAAGCAATACAAAATATACTTTCATGTGCAACTTTTAGAGATAAATGGGATCAATTTTTTTGACATTGACTTCAAATTTCAGTTTCTTGGACATATCTATCCTTTGAACAAACATACATAACTTTTTTGTTTCAAAATCACTTTTAAAAAATATTTGGAATATTTTTTTACATAAATATGTTGTAATTTTATGTATCAATTTTTGTAATTAGGTTATTTTTATTAAATGTTTATGATTTAAGAAAAAAAATGTCTTTTTTGCCGTATATTTTATAATCTTAAGAAAAAATCATCGGTGATTTTTTTCATAAAAATTGGTACAACTAATCTTCATACATAATCAATCCAAATATCATTTTCAAAAAGAAAAAGAGAGGTCGATGTACTCCTTTTCGAGATAATGATTAAAATCAGTCGAAAAAGCATCTTTTCCCAATATTGCACAGTTTGACGTCGCGAAAAATAACATTTAACGTTATCAAGTTATCAATGTCATTATCTCCGTTGTTACAATATCGTTTGCCCTTATGTCATTTCAGATTTAGGCATTTTGTGTCAGCTGTTCGGACTCCTAGGAGGATTTCCAACGACACAGGGAAAATATTTTGCCCGTTATCATTCACTTTTCTTTTCATGGTAGAATTTAATAGCATTTAAGAGGTCATTTACCAAAATATAAGCATATTTAAGATTTCGTTTCTAACGATTTGAGAACCAAATAAAGCCAATGCTAAATATAAGGTAAAAGTCCGAGTCGGCGTTTTCCCGCCATTTTTTAAAAACTATACCCGCACTTTAAGTATTCGATAATCATGTAATTGATAAGTGATAGATGTAAAAGCAACCTCACCTTCAACCCGATTCACAAAATCAGAAATATTTGAGTTGTAGTTCAAGAGAAAAAATAGCAAAACTTTTATGTGCAGGACTGACGGACCAACTGGCATACTTAGTTTTATTATGCCATAAACGGATTGCGGCTAATTACATTCCGGAGCTCTTTTGTTCATTCCAGGATTTTGGTAAAATTAGCGTATCTTTAGTGTTTTGTTATTTTTTGTGTTTTGTTGACTTTTGTGTGTCTTTTTGTCGTTTGTTTTTGTTGCCACATTGGCGTTTTCTGCCTTTCCTTTGATATAGTATATTTACTATATTTATTATCTTAAATGTGATAAAGGTAGTTGAGAACACTGCTGGTGAAATTTTCCTCCACGAGGGTATCACCAGTTCAACAGTCAGCACTTCTGTATTGACGTTGTGACATTGATATGGTCATAATTATAAATTAACTGTTAACAAGAATTTGATTTTTTTTTTTAAATATTTAGTATTGTGTACCCTAGGAATATAATACATTAGCTGCATTTGGCAAAACCGTTCGGAATGTTGGGTCCTCAATGCTCTTCAACTTCAAACTTTATTTGTCATTTTAAGCTGTTTTGATTCGAGCGTCACTTATGTATAGAACCACAAATTCGGGCCCAGTCGGAAAGAACATACGAGAAAGTAGCACATATTGAAACAAAACAGTTCCTACGCATAGCTGTATCTTTTTCAATAGGTGAAATAGTTGGTTAGTTTTGGTTTCAAATGAAAGGTTGGGGACTTGGAATCACTGTAGAACCGTTGTTGAAAGTTTCTTTTAAATAATAAAAAAGTATATAAAATTATAAAAGGTGAGCACATTTGCCCTGTTGTTCAGATCAGAAGTACCTGTTTTTGTTCTATCAAACCTCCGGGAACCAGTACGCTCTAATATGCAATTAAAGGTATGTTGAATTTTTCAGCACAACTCAGGATAAGGTATAGTTCTGACATGAAATGACTGCCACTTTATTCGAATTTAAGGTTAAGTAGCAAGTAATGCTTGAAATTGCAGAATTTAACATAGAAAGCAATTGGGCAATGAATTAGTGGTTTTATACCTGATGAGTCTTTTGTAGACGAAAAGTGCGTCTGACGTACAAAATGTTAATCCTGGTATCTATGATGAGTTTATTGATTCCAATATGTCGTTATGGTAACCGTCAATTTATTAATACTGGTTCTCTGTAACTATTTAAACTCTTACATAGGGAGTGTGGCACACATGGTCATCGATTTTCTTCAAACTTCACACACTTCCTAGTCTTGATGAAACAAACGAAAAATGGCAAAATTTTGGTTGCTATGCATATCGGTTGCCATAGCAACCGATGACCAGTTTTACCTGTTCTGGATAAATATGATTTAAGCTGAAAAAGTCTATTTTCAACATAATTTTTCATAGTAAATAAATAAGTGAAAGAATAATTTTTTATGATTTTATTAAATATATGCATTTTATTAATGTAATTTAATAACTGATATCTTCATATCAATTTTCAATCATAACCACAAATACCCCCCTTTTTATGTGGTTTGCATTAGGTAAAAAATACCCTTTTGAGGTCATTTTTGAATGCTCACCAAATTTTTTTGCGGACACCTGAGTAAAAGTCAACCATGAATTCATAAATACAATAGTCTTATCTTATCAATGACGCGAAAAAGTCATGGGGAAGTATGTCTCATTATTTTGTTACCATGGATACAAAATGCTTAGTTTTAATTTTTTCAGAAAAAAAATAATTGAAAAATTGTGAAAAAAAAATGTTTTAAAACCTAATTCTGCAGTCAGAAAAAATAAATAAATATACAATTTGTAGAAATGATTGTAATCATCAAAATTTTAAACATATTCATATATAACGGTATTATAGTTTAAATTCAAAAAGAATTGTGTCGCTATGGAAACAATTTCATGATGATACACAAGTTTAAAACAATTTAAAAAAAGTTCCAGTTAGTTTCTTAAATGTGCACAAAAGTAGGAAAACTAAAACACTTATCAAGTTTCATTGTATACACACATGTGTATATAATAATAATTTTGCTAGTATAGTATATCGATAATGGTGTTACCACTTGAAGGAAACAAACACAATTTCTCTAATCTTGATAAAAGTGCTGATTATGAAGAAATTTCATGAAAGATTTTGTGAAAAAGAAATGATCGATTAGTTGTGGTTTGCTTTATGTCCAGTGTCAAACATCTCATGCATATTTCAGAAGAGAACAAAATCATTTAATTTAATAGAAACATTGTAGGCCCTGCTAGTCTAGTGACCAAAAATTAATTAAAGGTAATAATTTGATACAATTCAACACAATAAAAAATAGAACAAAAAGAGTGAGACGTTGATCCTCTAAATAAATGATAATTGACCATCTAACCTCTCTTTGTATAAAGGAAAAAATACCTACATTATGAGCTGTTTATTTTCTTATTCATTCTTAAACTCAATGTTGAAATGGCAAAGCATGCATAGCTATACGTTTTGAATAATATTCGTATTATTGGATGATGAGTATCTATATGAAGATCATTTTTGAGTTAAGTTGAAAAACAAACAATTTCAGAAAGGTCCTGCAATAGGGGTAGGCTTGGATGAAGGCGGACAATTTGAAATATCACTGGAAATCGGGATCAATTAGACAAGGACAGAAATTTCAACTGGTCAACTAGGGAGCCCCTAAAATAATTAACGCAAGCGTTCTTTAGCAAACAAATGGCGTAACCAGCCAGGTTGGGTACAGTCAGCCGTCGATCCGATGGTCCCTGCTATCCATCCGACATATTTCTTGTTTGCCGTTCTGGCCGGGGAGGAATTTTTGAGATTTATTCCCAAAGTTCCATTTCTCTACGAGGACCCGCGGAAAATCTGTCAGCGGGCAGCTGCGGGTCTTACGACGAGCAGCCGTGGGGGGCGGGGGGGGGGGATATAACATCTAGACAATTTTCATATAAGGGGTCCCACTGACTGCCACAAGAGAGGGCCCGCTACATACATGCTTCAGTGATTCCATATGTTATCAACCAAATGTTTCCAATGAAAGGCGGGGGTAGGTCCTTCGGGCCCCCAGGTTCCGATTAAAGTAGCACTATCTTAACATTAGTAATAGGCATTGGATTTTTCAAATTTGAGAAAATAACGATTATCTTTATGGATTTTTAGCAGCAAATTAAAAAATATTGACAATATGAAAACTTAACACAGGGTAAAGTTAAAAGAATTATATACATGTAGCTGAAGGACGCCCCCGGGTGCGGGAGATTCTCGCTGTATTGAAGACACATTGATGGCCTTCGGCTGTTGTCTGCTCTATGGTCGACTCGGGTTGTTTTCTTTTTGACACATTCCCTAGTCCATTCTCAATTTTATGTACATATAATTTGATTTTCACTGAAAGCCCATTACAGAAAGATGTTTCTCAAAATTGGTATATTGGCTTTCTTTTAACAAAAAAAATTAGATTTTACTATGAAACAGAACTCAATGTTTATAACATATTATACATGTGACTTTTTGTCCGTGACTTTTTGTCTGTGACTTTCTGTCCTACATTCTGACAGTTATCTTGACCAGGAAAAATGACTATATACCTATTCATATGTAAAAGGCTTTGCATCAAATTTATAGAAACACTTAGATTGAACCATTAATTTTATCAAATAAGAAAATATAAAATGATTTTCAAACATATTAGCAAACGATAAATGTATTGACTTTCGGATAGATTTAAACTAAGACAAGGCTCTTGCATACCTCAAGTTAAGTCCGCGAATATGTTTACTTATATTTTATGAAAATATTTTAAACTACCAAGATATCGTGCATACAGGGGCTCAGGCATACCTCAAGTAGTCCTCAAAATGTTTTTTTGTTTGTTATGAAAATATTTAAAACTACCAAGATATCCTGCACAAAGCTCGGGCATGCCTTAAGTAGGACGTGGAAAAAATTATTTACTGTTAAGAAAATATTAAAAAACAAACTATATTGGAAATATCAACTTACATGTATTTGTGGCCTACGTCACACCTTTTTTGTGTTACTTTATATTTGTGATCAAACTTGTCAAATTATAACCGGTAATATACGACATGATTTACAACACAGTAAAATACAATCTACTACTCAATACTATAAAAAGTTTTAAAAACCCCGTGCTCGTCACAGTACCCTTAACTGTTTTTCCCAGGTTTTTTTTTATTATTTGATAAAGACTTTACCATTCAATCTTAATGTTGTTTTTTATAATAAATTTTAAACAAATCCTATAAGATAAAAATAAATATTAGGTAGTACAACATTCAGGACACAGTCAACGTTGGTCATGTCAAGTTTTTTACCCAAAAACATATATTTTTCCTATTTTTTTTAATAATGTAAAATAACAAAGAAACGTTAGAAAGGTCACTTTTTCGGAATTTTTTATAAATTTTTCTATATTTATATATTAAATAATGAAATTTTATTATTATTTCAAATTTAACATATATCTTTTAAGAAATCAAAGAGGTTATTAGCATATTCGTTTTGTCCTGTCATTGTCAGCGTTGACAGGTCGAGTTTTCTGCAGATTTAAAGAAGTTTTCAATATGTTTTCTTATATTTATGTATTGAATGGTCTAAATTTATTACAATTCAAATACATGTATGACATGAATCCTTTGAGAAATAAAAAAGTTTTTAGCATTTTCGCGTTGGTCCAGTCATTAGTGTAACCCACCAAAGGGAGATAATTCGTATTGTGAGGAATATTGCACATGATCATTTTTTAGAAATTAATTTCACATGTTTCTAGGTAGATTCCTCATAACTTTTTTTGCATTTTGATAAAAACAAGAATGAAATTAATTGTTTTTGTGTTTCTTTTTAATAGATGTAGCCGCATAATTTCACAGCACTACACCAAATATTGTATTTTTCTCAAAAATCCCAACTTTCTCCGCTGTTACCATGGTAACCAACCAATATATATATCGGTTGACATTATTTTTCTGACTAGGCTTATAGGATCTACATATCAGCCAATTTTCAGAAAGATCGGTGATTATGCGTGCCGAAAAAGTTTAAGTGGTTACAGAGAATGAGTATTAAATGTTTATATCAGTCCTTTTTTCTCACAGATGTATTGGACCAGTTTTTGTATATGGAGCACACTCTTGATAATGAGGTCCGTAAAGTGTAAGCATGCACGAGCAAACCATATTAATTGAGATATATTACGAATTACGATAGTATCTATTGTGTAAAAATGCTAAGAAATTAAAAACCCACGAAAAACAATCAGACAGAGATTGACCTATCCAAACTTCTACAGAAAATTTAGACAAATTGACAAAGTAGGTAGTATGATAAATTTTTAGCCCCTTAAGCTGCAAAAATAGTGACATTTTCCAATCCTTTCAAGGAGAAGGTATAATAAGAGTCATTGGTCCCAGAGCTTGCACAAAATAGTAAACTTATGCAATCCTTTCATAACTATGTTAATCATATTAATAAATGAACCAGTTGAGGTAATCTGTAAATTTTAGTGCAGTGTTGTCACTATGACGTCGAAATGGATATATTCAACATAAACATGCATTTTATGCATAATTTTTGGACAAAATATATATCACTAAAAGCAATATCCAAAAGGATATTTTAAAATTTTTAGCATCTTTGTAAATGAGTGAAAAGCAAACTAAAAGAGAAATAGCAACAATTAGGAACCCAAATATATTGCAAAAGTGAATGCAACACATATCAGTACAATTACCGTATAAAGCTCTTCTATTCTGCCTTTATCACTAAATCCGTAGCATTTCGGTCCCAGATTTAGTTTAGCTAAAAGGAGGAACACACATAAATTGTTGATAAGAAACGTTGGAAATTGCTCTTTTGCGATTTTTCCATAGATCCTAACCAGAACCTGTTTGTGTTCTTGTCCATTGGCTCTCCATGTGCATTTGTATATGTGGTTTGTGGTTGGTCTCCTAAAGAAACAAAGGAAAGTTTTAATAAGCATAGGCCTTGCGCCCCACTGATAGCCAACGAGTATAAATCATAATGTATATATATATATATCTTATTAATATCTCAGCTTGAGGACTCAATTGAATATTTGAAGATCTTTAACATGTTTTGCATACCTAAACTCACAAAACTTCCCAAAACCGTGGACTATTGCTTCATTTCTGTTTCCAGTAATTTCTATAACTGATGTTTCTATGCTTTTATCTAGGCCATAAGTTTGAATTGTTTCATATTCTGTCATTTCGGGGACATTACAGTATGTCCTTTGCTGATTGTTGAATGCCATACGATAACCTATAGTGGTTTAGATCAACATTATTGGACTCTTTTCCTCTGTAAATATCGTAAACTTGTATATGTATGATGGCTCGTTTCGAAGGTTAGGGATTTTCACATATAAGGTAAAATAACCTCGGTGCGAAGTGGGATAACATTTTTCACAAATTTGAAAACCCATAAAGACCACACGTGATATTGCTTCATCAAGTAAAAATCCTTATTTTCAAACGGGTAAATTCTAGAGAAATTCAGTTTTGTACACACATTTAACTCTTTCACTTTCACAGCGGTTCAGTGTACGGAATTTTAAGCGGTACGGTGAAGCAATTTTAAGACAATTTGTTCGCGTTAAGTCTTGCTTCTTTGACAATTTTTGACGTTCACACGTGGTTAAGGGCTCAAATTAATACTAAGAATACCAGCAATGTGATTCAATGAGCATCAAACTTCTGTGATTTTCTCTTTAATATCGATTTGTATCTTATTGTCAAGTACGTTCACTTAAAAAAAATATATATTTCAGATTATTTTCACAAAATAATGTTATAAAAGTATAACAAAAGTATAAACAAAAACTCAAAGGCAAATAAAAATGGGATTCCATAAAATCTGACAAAATCAAACGCGGTCAATACTGGAACAAGTGAAAAACAACTGCCATATTTCTGACCTGGTACAGGCATGAACCGATACAGAATAATGTTTATTTTGAAGGAAAATATGAACATTTTTAATATATGTGCAGTGTGTTTAGAAGCATAAAATCGGAATAATAATTCTAATTTGTACCTAGTTTAAAATGTGTTTCCTTGTATACCATCTGAATCAGAAACTTGAAATGCACTAAAATTAATGGTCATAACTAACAAAATGTTATGAAAAAGAGAAACCTCAAAACATATTCTGCAGATTTTTAGCGAAGTTGAAATAGATGTTATAAAACATTGTTTCGTATGGGATTGCCTATGGTAAAGTTGAAAATACCTTTGTTCAAATGAAGGGACATGTATATGTCAAGAAAAAAGGTAAATTTAAGGTATGGTTTCTCCTATATTTGCTTAATATCATGAATTTGGGGAAAATATATATCATCTCAACGCATAATTTCTAAATGAAACCAAGCTGGACGATGTTTTTCTTATTTTGTTCTCTCACTCTTCCATTGAAACTTCCCTTGAAAAGGCCAAATTAAGTTTAATGCTTGAATAAACACGATTTAGACAGAACATTGTGTCAGGGATTGGATTTAAACGGGAAAAGCTTCTGAAATCGTTTTTTTATGTTACGGACATCGAGATTTCATGGCATATAGCACGTATTTCCTCCTTCTATACCAATATGGCAACTTGTCTATCTCTAAAATACATGACTAATTGCTATTCCACCAAAACTATACCCTATTTGCGCAACTATGTGGCTCTACACGACTTTTCCACCATGGAATTCGTATTTTTTTCCGCAAATCATGTGACTTTTGGAAAAATACCACGTAAACCTTCTTTTGAGGCGCATTAAGGATATTGGCCTATTTAAAGAACATTTGGAACAAAATATATAAAATTAAAAATCACTCAGAGAACAATTGAAGGTCTATCCATCCCAAATTTGCATCTTTTGATAGGAAAATATTCAATTCCGATTTAAAATGTCAATTTTGCTGTCAGAAGATCGCTTATATTACGCTGATTCCAAAAAATATATGGTAATTATATACTTATGTTAAAAATAAGGAAGATAAGAAGTACTTCCGTTTACAAAATTCCACTTCCGGTTTTAAATGAACCTTAATTCTTAATGATTCTTAAAATAAAAAGTTCTAGTAACTTTTACATAAAAATAATAGAAAAATGTCTACTTTCGGTTTAAAAATGTCAAATCTAGTTGTACTTCTTCAAGGTAACCCAATGACTTTATCATATACTATAAGAAGTTATGACAAAGGTCAAAATCTAGAACGTCAATTTAACCTTTGGCCTTTACCAAGATTTCATGGTTATAAATCAAGAAATTCAAATCAAAAGACCGTAGTCTTCACTATATATGGTTAATGAGTTACACTGTAATGTTTAATGAGTTACACTATATATGATTAATGAGTTATATGACCATACAGCTAATTTTGAATATAAGAGGGAAACAAACTCCCATTTAATGTCAACGTACCCTTTTAACCAAATTATATATGTTACAACATGTCGCAAATAACAGTTAAGTAAAAATATTTTGTCGATATCTTATACGGTTTCTGAGGATAAGCAATAATAAGCCAAAATCAAAATTTAAAACATGACCTTGACCTCATTTCTTTTTAAAGGATCAAGGACCTCAAATCAAAAGACCCTAGGTCTCCATACCTTATGGTGAACCAGTTATAATTACATTTTACTAATTTTAAATACAGAAGGGGAAATAAGTCTCTAATCCGGAAAGATTCATTCTGAGGACCTTCACTGAGATAGCTGTGTCAGTGGAGTAATTGTTAATAGCATGTGCAATACTGTTGTTGAATAATAAAAAAAAAGCAACTGAAACAGAAAAAAAAACATTCTGAGGACGTAACGAGCAATTTGGAAAAATACATTTGTCCCTTTCTTTTACTGTTTCGAAGGAGTAGTCATAAAAAATGAAGACAGTGTTCGGGGAGATAACTCTTATAGGAAAAGTGTTTGGTTATACCGGGTCAGTTTCAAAAGCGTTTAAACTGTACAATATCATATACAAAATATCTAAGCGACATCTTTTGAAACACCAATACAGTGAAAAAAAAGATAAGGCGGAAGAAAAAAAAATAAAAAAAAAAATATCAGAACAAATCAAAAGTTCTTTCCACGGAAAAAATTAAGACCTAACAATTGTGGAATTGATTATTATTGTTTTTAGTATACACAAATCTTTCAGATCAATTACGTGTTTGTGATAATCCTTTCGATTCAGTTGACAGTTATGACTTTTCGAATATTCACACTACACTTCCACACAATCTTATCAAACAGCAAATGTCTTATTGCAAATGTATTTCCTTCAACTCACAGAAAACTGACTTTTGTTATAAAAAGGTAAATGTTTTAGATGTATTTACTGTAACTGGTATGAGTAAACTGGTAAATCCATAAAAGTGCTTCCGACGCATGAAAAAATGAGTGTTTTTTTCTTTCATTAATTAGTTAATGGTAAACTCAACAACATTTACCGTTGTCTTGATGATATTATTGCTTTATATAATTTAGAAGTCTCTAATTATATGGCGGAAATTTACCAAGGGGAACTTATTTTATATTAATCTTATTTAAATATAAAGATATTGAAAATATAAACCTCAATGATTGTCATTTTTTTTTTTGACATTTCAAATTCATACGAGAAACCCACTACCATTAGTAAACGTACATAAACATACTAAAAATATGTCAATAATAAGCATCGCTTGCTTAAACAAACTATGTAAACAGCAAACTGTGATTGTTTTGTCTAGTAAAATTATAGATATTATATAAGGTCTTGACATGAACCTTTACGGACTTTTACTCAGTCCTTCAAATCTTTAAGGCAAATTAAAATTGACATGCAAAGGTTTCAAATTTTCAAAATTAAATAACAAATTAATCAGAATCACATTAAAAATTTAATGCACTTGAAGTATAACTGATCATCCATTATCACCTCAAAATTTTGTCTGGCCATTACAAATAAGACAACATTGTGATGGTCACATTTACAGTGACCATAGAGCATATTTTCAACTGCTAGTATTCTGATGGTTAAAAAACACAGGATTTGTCATTGTCGTTAATTGTTAGTCGATTTATCGAATGGCGATGGTAAAACAATAGTTGATACGTTATCCAAATCCACGTTTCCTTGTGTAATTTTGTATTTATAGAAACACATAAGTAATAAAGAATATACTGAACATACTGTATAATAAAATGTGATAACATCTTAAATATTTTAATTAGAAATACTTAATCTGTTAATTAGAGTGACAACATTGATATAATGCAAACTATAGTGTTAAGAGCTACATTTGTGAATTTTAAAGGTATATACTTTCGTTTTATCTGAATTTGCTTCATATTATTTGTAAATGTAAGATACAGATCTGTCAAAATTTGATTGGCAGACAACAGTCTAAAATGAGGTATTTTTTTCCTAATGAAATTCAACATCTACGACGTGCTCTCCATGATACAGTTATGATCATGTATAGGAAAACAATAATACAACATGATTAAATTCATAGTTTCTTGGTTATAGCACTAGCATATAATCATAATAACTTCGTGCCTCTTTATAGTAAAGTTATAGGGTTGTTGTTAGCATTAACTGTACGTATACGATCATTATCAGTTTCATGCAAAATGTAAGGATGTTTGTTTAGATACTTTACAAAACTGGAATGTAACTTTCTATTAATTTATAAGAATACATACTGCCGATTCGATTTATTTCTTTTCCATGCTATTAATTGATTGATTAATTGTTTGTGTGTAAAGCCATTTTAAGCACTCGTGGGTATATCGTCAGTTTTACAGGCATAAGAAGCCCGGAGAGAACCACATTCCCTCGGCAGAAAAATGGCAATCTAGTCAATTAAGGTTTGAGTATAGAACGCACCTTCAAGGTGTGAGTGAATGTGAATCAAGTCAAAACATGATACCAACAACTTGATTTCATCTTTAACTAACTAAACAAAAATATGGTCAAAAAACAGTTTAAGAAGACAGTATCAAATGACATCCACTGAATTAATGGCTCCCATGTCGGCATAGGTAAGGAATGAAAACAACACGTTACAAATGTCATGCGTCAGAAGCGCTTTTCTGGATGTACCTTCATCAGGAACGCTCAAAACTGAATATTTGAATGACAAGGATGTACAAGAACCAAAACAGCTGCGAAGCTATATGACCAAACAGAACATAAAAAGAGCCGTTACCATCTAAGGTCAATATTGCCTGAGTTGAAATCTTAGTTTCTTATAATTTCAAAATTTACTAACGGAAAATTTTAGAAAGATTTGTTATAAATCATACCAGTACCGAAGTACTGACTACTGAGCTGATAAGGTAGCAATATACAGTTAGGAAATAAATTAAAACTTACCCTCATAAATTTTACCATCACCTTTTCCTTACTTTCTTATAAATCAAGCTTGCTGTTTGTGTCATATATGTGCATATGTATGTAATCAGTATCTTCCATAGATTTGATATCCAGTAGTTGAAATGGTTATTGATACTTTCGTTTTGGTGTATCAATGGCAACAACCAGCATGTATTGGCTATACAATATTGCAAAAAGGGGGGTAAAGATGTCACAAATTTCCCCAAAATTTTGCCAAAAGTGGAATTTCAATCCCTTAGAGTGATACCTTTTCTGAAACTGTTTACATATATCTATCAAGAGATGAAAAAAAAATTATATGGCCTACGACTCATTTTTTTGTAAAATTGCGTCAAAAAGTTCAAGTAAAAAAAGTCTTTGTAAACATTACAAAAATTTCTGGACCTATGGCCAGTTTAGCTATGAAAATACGTACAGACAAACAGAAAATAGTCCATAAAACATGTACAAAATAATATGGATGTTCTTATAAACCCACTTGAAGGCTAAATTAGTCATCAGCTGTCTAAAAATGAATTTTATTGCAGAATAACTTTCATACTTGAAAAATCCAACGGGGCCAAAATGTGAAACTACACTTCTAACTGTGTATTGCTACATGATACCCTCGAGGACTGATAGTCCACCAGCAGAGGTACAGTGGAGATCACTTCTAACCTCTCATTAGAACTGTCAGTATAATCTGTCATAGAACTGTTCTAAACTGTCCTAGAACAGTTCTACCTAGAACAGTTCTACCCTAGAACTGTTCTAAGTAGAACTGTCAGAATCAGTTCTAGGTAGAACTGACTAAATCAGTTCTAGGTAGAACTGTCAGGATCAGTTCTAGGGTAGAACTGTCTAAAACTGTTCTAGGTAGAACTGTCCAAATCAGTTCTAACCGCAGTACTGTCAGCAGAACTGACTAAATCAGTCAGGACTGTAGAACAGTGTTTTTGACTAAATCAGTTCTAGGTAGAACTGTCAGGATCAGTTCTAGGGTAGAACTGTCTAAAACTGTTCTAGGTAGAACTGTCCAAATCAGTTCTAACCGTAGAACTGTCAGCATAACTGACTAAATCAGTCAGGACTGTAGAACAGTTCTAAATGACGTCACTGCAGTAAGGGCATCTTAGAATTTAGAAAACTTTGAAAAATCAGTTCCAATTACTTTACTGTTTAATAGCAGATTTTCTATATTTTTACTGATATCGAAGCGGATAGAAAGGTTATCAAACTCATCGGAGAAATATTCTTATATGATCGCATACATGTATCGATCCAGTGCTGGAAAATATGAAAACAACGTGTCACAAATTTAATGCGTCCGAATTTGGTGGTATAACATTTTTGTTAGCTCTCAACCATCCGCTAATCTGAACAGTGATAATCATTTTTAAACCAAGTTTAACCTTTATAAAAAGGTATGGAGTGTTTCGCGCTATCAAAAATTACGTCAACATGTAGCAGCAATTATTGATCGGGTCTTGAATAACTATACTTTAGTTTTAATCCTTATCTGCCGTAATTAACATTTTATTTTTGTTTTGTACGTTTTTATATCTCATTGCAGCTAATAGCACATTTGCCAATCATGATACAGCCAATCAGAACCGATATGTGTGAAAAAAAATAAGTTCAAGATGGAGTGATTATCGAATGAAACTTTTAGCTTCACACAGTGGTGCGATTCAAATACAAACAGAACGTTTATTTATCCGTATCACTTCAACATTATCAAGTAATCAAAATAAACTGCCTGAGAGTATTTATTGATATGAATTTGACGCGACATTATATCGCAAGGTCAAACAGTAAAGGAAAAAGTATTCATTAATCGGGTTTAGGTTCGGATCTTAAATACCCATACTGTAATTTATCATTATTTTATATCTTCTACTGATCTCTACTGTACGGGACATGTTCCAAATTCTGTACTTCATTTTAGTCAATAGAACCTTGGACATAAACAAAAAGCATTACTTACAAGTAGATTATTGCTTAGTTCCACATTTTGAAATGCTCTCCTATGCACCAAACAATAGTATCGGCTAATTTCCAATTTGAAGTAACAATTGTTATCGGATTCAGGGTTAAATAAATGGAACTCCCCTCTCTGTAGCTTGGTTTTAAACTACGTACAACATCGATGAAAATAATGCTGAAGTAGCAAATGGAACATTGACATTTTAGATTTTCACCGAAAAGTGGAAAGACCTATTGATTTCGTTCTGATTATTATTTTTGTTTTCTTCTCCCGCCACTTTTATTTCTTGCATGTAATTTTTGTTTTGCAAGATGTCGCTTAGATGTTTGGTGTATGATATCGCACAGTTCCAACGCTTATGAAACTGACCCTACTTAACTGAATACTTTTCTCTGTAAGAGATGTCTCCCCGAACACACTTATGTCAGGCGAAAGTATACAAAAACTATATATTTTGGCTATCATATGAGAAAGCAAATTATTTCCTTTTTTCAGACTAAAGACTAAAGACTAAAAAAATAAAGAAACCATATTTTTTCAAATCAGTATGAAGAACCCTATGATTGGACGCCATAAGTAACTTTGAGTAAAACTGATGTAGCTTTTATCAATTAGGGAAAAACATTCTACTGTTCTCTTTTAAATTTGTATTTAATCTTTATACATATCTGTTAAACAACATATTAACCGGCACAAACTTAAATGCACAAGATGCTCATTTCGACAATTAATTGAAGGGGAAACTATATCTTCAAAACTGTATTCAACATTAGTTTTTAATCACAAGCCTTGAAATAAAATCGTTGACCAGACCAATAATGCTATTTTCAAGTAGTACAGGGATGCCATTTTCACCTAGAGAGCTGCTACTTACGGTACTTTGTCCTCCTTATGAATTATTACAGTTCCGAGTGAACGGATCAGTCCTTTCAAAATTATCTGATGCTTGTTACTCTATATATTTATCAATAGTAACAGTATGCAAAATACTCACCCGATTTCTTCACAAGTGAAATTACTGTCATCTATCGAAAATTGTGCTTTGCATAATTCCAGACATTCCCTCTTTCGCTTTTGAAAAAAATATGGATCTGTAAAAAAAAAAGGCAGACATGGTGATTCTTACATCGCATAGCGGATAATCCATACATCGGAGTTAGTTTTTGATTGTAACCTTTATTTCTCGTAATAGATTAATTAGATTGGAACACAGTTACACTAAGGTTGCCTTAATATTCTCTTGTAAATTGTTTGTTGTGACAGTTGGGGTCATTTAACTACAAAGACGATATCAACATACAGCTGAACCCTTGAGTGACAACATTCTGTCGAAAGCCTATTCAGTGTATGATTAATATTTCAACAAATAGACGACATTCATGTTACATGTTCACGTTTCATGTCTTGAAATTGTATTTAAACAGATTGACAACTCCAAACTGGGATCTGTAAAATACGGCCATGCTATTAAGGGAGGTTACTCTTGCCTTCAAGAGCAACTTGCCGCCTGATAAGCAGGATAATTATTTCTACATCAAATACCGTATATTTTATCAATATTTAAGAGCATTTTAAAAGAAGTAAAAAAATCTATCAATTTATAATAGGAGAGTGGTAGGAATCATTGTTTATTCAGTTGACAATACACGTATGACAAAAAATAAAAATCAACGCAACAGGTGTACTTATCAACAAAAACAATTGACTAAAAAAAAATCAGAACTAGGAGTTATATCAGATGTATCGAAAGGTATGTCTTGCTATGTAGGAAAGTTTATTGCATTTTATGTTGTCGAATCTGGTAATTACTTACATTTGGTATGAGGTTTTAGCACATTCAAGCATTTAGTATAATGTATGCAATAAATTGTGATGCACTTATAGCCTTCCCTTTGTATTTAGTGGTCTAGTCTTTATGTATCATATTGAACTGGAAGGAAGAAGTGTTACTTAACTAAGAAATTTGTGACAGCTAATATGACTGTCGATGAAGTGTGTTGTAGACATTATATGCCTCTACATGGAGAAGTTCATCATTTGCTTTCATGGGAATGTCATTCATCTGTTTGAGTAGATGTCATCCGAATTCAACCATTACATGCATAATATTTATGAAGTACGCAATACAATGGCAAACAAGTATACACACATGTCATCCTCGTCTTTTTTGCCGATTGTAAACAGAACTATAACTTAAATAATGATTGATAGAATGCTGTAAGGTCTTTTAAATTCTCCTAGATATCATCATCTGCTATGCAATCGGTTTGTAATGCTAATAATGAATAATTTCCCTCATGGAAAAGAAACTATATATATATGTGCTCAAACTTTTGGTGCACACTAAATATGTATCCTTTTCTTTCTGAACATAGAGTTTTGTTCATCAACGGATGAGTGTTAATACTTAACAATGATTTAGACCTATACGCAGAGAGTATTGGTTGTCTAAAGGATCAAGTTTATGATCAGGAGTTTTACATTTATTGTTATTGGTAATTTGAGTTTTGTAGGGTTTGTTGTTTGAAAACCATTCTAGTATTTTCTAATGGTATATTTGAAAGTCACGCTCATAAACATGACAAGAGTGATCATTCTACAAATACTTTTTTTGTAAAAATTTCCGCTTACAAGTAACATCTTGTCTTGGCGGAGCCTGAGCCTGAGCCATTATCCCTTGGATCTACAATAAACCAAGATACATATGTACAAATAAATCAATAATAATAATAATAATAATAATAATAATAATAATAATTAATAATTATGATATTAATAATAATAATTGGTTTCTATGTACTTTTCTATGACATTATTACAAATAGGGCTGCTTGTGGTTTACTCATCATGATAACATTCGAAGAGTGCAAGAAAACTTTTGATTTGATAAGTTTTTCAAGTTCCATATTCTAGATTGAGAATTATGTAAAACTGTACAGCAAATAAATTCAATAAAACGTGACACCAAATCGGCAAAATCTGGTTTGTTTGTAAAGAACAGTTGGATTTGGCTATTTTTTAGGTCCTTTTTGGTTTATAGCTCTTCAACGTTTTCGATCCGTATACATCATTGGCTTTCAAATATTCGGCTTTGAGCGTTCCTGATGAAGATAAATCCAGAAAAGCGCTTCGGACGCATTAAATTTATAACGCGTTGTTTTCATTTTTTATGATGATATTGTTCTTGACCCCACTTACTATGAAGAGTAAAACAATACAATATCATCGTAAATAGCCCTTTCCAAAAATTAATTTCTGGAAGCACGAATTTTACTCTGAATTTATAATTTTAATTTTATTTTCGTCTCAGAATAGCTAGTCTTCTTGAGTTGCAATTTATCTGCTTTTGTTGGTATGCATGTAACGTTACATATGCTGGATTGCTAACTTTTGTTGATCAACCAATTATTTATTATTTGAAATAAGATAAATTCAATTCTGCATTACTCTTGAGTATTTTCCTTATTTCAAGCCTTCGTTGACACGATCACAACAAAAAAGAATAGAAAGTTCAAACAAATTTGTGCCAAATATTGACTTGGGTGAACAGTCCATTTTCAACAGTTCAAAAAGGGAATGAAAGCTGTGAATGTAACTTGAAAGCCCAGCCCGAGCGGTTCAAACAATTTATTTATTACCTGTTTATTACATGTATAGAATATATTTTAGCAGCAAACATACTTATTTTTCTAATTCAATTTGGCATTTAAGGTTAGTGAATCTTTTAGTTTTTATGAAATATTGTATGTAGTCAGAACAATGTAAATTTAGATAATTGCTCTTTGAATAGAGCCTTTTTTAAGGGGGTAGGCCTTGGTAACCCCAAAATTTTCCTCTCGTTTTTTCTTATATTTACACCATTGAAAAAGGAGCGGTCCATGCATCATCTGTCGAAGTCTTGTTGAAATTCACCGTTGCATTTTATGTTTAGGGTATATTGAATATGACCAGTTTTGGGGTACCCTAAAAAACGGTCAAAACACTACTAGGTATATATTATTGTGTGTTTTTGCAAATGTTGTCATTAGGAATACCCATGACTGTTAAAATGCATAGAATAAACATATTTTAAAGTAAATATAACTATCATGATAATACGTGTAGCCTGAATGTAAATAAATGATTTTTAATTATTGATAAGGCGAAAATTCTGGCCAGCTAACTATGCCAGAAAACAAAAGAATGTCTTTTAATTCCTGCAAAAAAATTGCTTAAACATTTACTGGTTATAAATCTTGAAAATCACAATCTTTTATTGAATTTGACCGCTTGAAATTTTCAAAATTTTTAAACAGGTTGGCTTTTCAGGCACAAATAAAAAGGAAATTGTTTGGACAAAATTTGCACGTGACAGGTGCATTTATCTCCGATGTTAATTGAAAAATACGGCCAGTTTTCTTGCCTAAAAGTAGGTGATTTTCTCCACCTCCCTCCAACAATAAAAACTAACCGCCTTGATATATCGAATAATGCTGAAAAAGGTGTTAAAACCAACAATAAATCAATCATTCGGTAAATAACATAACACGTGACTAAATCACATATGACATTTGCGCCGATTTTTTAAATTTTCGATCTTTCATTTGCGCCGATTTTATTTTTTCATTTGCGCCGATTTTGTACAGATAAACTAAAGGTGAATGTTTTTTTTATTTATCATTATAAACCTCTTCCGTTCGCCGGTTGTACATATGTTATGAATGGTCAATTATAACAAAAAAAAAGACATGTATATAACTGCTGTCCCCTGCAAGTAGAATTTTGTCTTTTTCATCTGGCTCAGAACTGGTGTTACGCTAAGCACAGAGTATAAAGACAAATGGTAAATGGCTATCGCAATTTTTCGGGCTACGATTCCTTCCCCCAGATGGAATCGAAGACTGCTTCATGTTTGACATAATGATAATGTCTAACGCTCCTTCTGATGACAAATGTCATGCATTGTTAGACTACGTACTAAGTACTTATTTGATTATAATTACGCTCAACTTCACGTTATGCACCTCATTTCTGGGCAGCCGCACCCATTGAAAACTAAGAGGATCGACAAATAACAGTTCAGAATCATTACAATGAACAAGTTATAATTAACATATATACAATTAGCTAACGGAAGAGGTTTACAATGATAAATAAAAAAAAAAAATAACGGTCACCTGTATAAATTTACCTGTACACAAATCGGCGCAAATGAAAGAAAAATGGGCGCAAGTGAAAGAAAAAATCGGCGCAAATGAAATGCAGATCGGCGCAAATGCAAAACGCCGTACAGGTGCCTTCTTACCTTTCACCTGGTCAAGTATGCTATAGGTGTGAACATTTAATCACTAAAACAACAGCCTACAATAATTGTTTTGTATTGTGTAATTTTATACATAAGGTGAGACGTAAATAAAATATTGAATTGAATTGTTTACATAAAAGGGGGGAAAGTAATAAAATTGTTAATTGAATATCCTAAGGCAGAAATAGTGTGATAAAGGATTTTTCACTATACTAATCCTTTATGTGATGTATGGTTTCCAACCAAAAAAAATATAAGCATAACTATTGGTGATAATTTATACCTATTAAAAGTCTCTATGTAACCAAAAAAAAAACGGACACTTTGAGAACGCCTAATTTGACTTTTACTATCTTTTTTTACTGCTTCCGGCGCACACATAATTATAACACTACCGTAACAGAGAGAAAAAAGAACAATTTGATCATCAATAATTAGAAAATTATATTTTCAATCATGATTAAAAGTAGTTTTATTTAAATAAAAAAAACGCAGAAAGCGGTCTATTACATTTATTCATCAGACAAACCAAATATGTATGGTAACAATCCGATCGGTATTGTTTGAAAAATCGTCGTTGTTGGACTCTTCGCATGAAGAATTAATATCCTTTTCTTGGTTATTTTCCACACACAATGGCTCAAATTGATGAGGTCAATTGTCTTTATAGTTTGTCAGTAATCGGGAAAAGTGCTGTCAATACCGTCAATAGTGTATCGGCATCGTCCAGTTAGAGACATTTTCCCAGCTTGTAACCACTGACGTAAGCACGATCACGTGATCGTTATCTAATTAAAAATCATTCATTATGACAAGCGCAGGATTCTTTGACCAGAAAAATGCCGATTGATCAACTTTTGACCAGCAAAATTGTACAAAACATGTTTTAAGACTAATATTTATTAATCTAATAACAAAAAAAAAAAAAAAAAAATCGTGTCACGTCTCCTTTAAAATGCTTGTAAATTTAGTTAGGTGTAGCCACAATTCATAAATGAACCTTAGATTTTAGTAAAATAGCATGATAACCTATTTTGGACAACAGTACTGTTCAAGACTACCCTTCTATAGTACTAACTGTTAACAGAAGGAAATTAGAACCCAGATGAAGTGTTAATAGACTGCTATCATACATCCAAGTACAGTAATGATCATCTCCAAAATTTAGTTACGCTTGAACTTGGGAAATCACAAATCGCATATTACATATTTTTTTTTTTTATTTTGAATATTCTGCCACTGTGAATTTTCAAATCATGAATATTAACCAAACAATAAAAATAAAGAGCTCCGACAGCAACGCATGATACGCTCGTCAATCTTTTAGCTCGAAAGTTCCAGAACTCCGCAATGTCATATCAGAAATGTTTGAAAAAAACAAACCAAAAAAGGGAGCGTATTTCAATAGATATAAATAAGCCTACAAAGTTTCATGAAAACTGCTCAAAGCTTTTTTGAGCTATTGTCCGAAAACTAGATAATCCCCCCTGTTTTATGAAATAAAGTTTAAATACTCGGAAACGTAAAATCTTAAATTTATAAAGATCGAATGGGAGCTTACGTCAATATTTATAAACAATTCCCCAAAGTTTCATAAAAATTGATGAAAGCGTGTGTGTCATTGTCCGAAATGTTGACGACGGACGGACGTACCGGACAGACGGACGCACGGACGGACAAACAACTATACACCATAATACGTCCCGTAAATGGACGTATAAATATTGGGTTTAATTCGTTCCAATTACACAAATTAATGAAATATGTTATTCACAAATCAACGGGTCTTCCGTGATGCTGATAACTTCAGTTAAGCACACCCGTGGTGCTACGTTAAGTATTATAGATACACTGGATAAGCTTTGATTCTTGAAAAGGAAATCATGAGCCTGAAGGGCAAATGGTTTGTTTTTCATGAATCAACGCGTATCCATTGTGTCTCTAACTTAAACTATTGTGTTGATGTCTTTTAAAATTAAAGCCTTTTCTTAACTAGGAGGTATTGTAAAAGAGTGTAAATAACCATGTTATCATGTTCAAAGACAACGATGCATTAATAATCAAAGATCACAATTAATTGGTTAGAGAAATACAAATTTAACATAACACGTCTGACTTTGTTTTATTAAGCATCTGAATATTATCTGTAATTTTCAAAATAAGACATATTCGAACTTATTTCTAAGCATATATAATAAGTATGTTACCCAAATTTCTGATCAAAAACTAATTCTAATCACATCACGGTTTACTCTCAATTTGCGAATAAACCTCTGGAGCGATATGTGGTAAAACAGGTGAAATTATACTATCTTAATAAAAAAATTAAAAAATGGACAAATTGAATGTAATCATTTTCTTTTCAAAAGCGTGAAAAAAGCCAATAATAATCCAAAACTATTATTACAAAAATATCCACAAAAACATACAAAATAAGTAAAACGAAAAAAAACTAAAGAATAGGGACAACAAACAGAACACAGGGATTCGAACCTTAACCGACTCTGTTCTCCTAACATGACTCTCCCAACGCGGCTACCAACTTATACATATCATATACGATTGTCTATTATGTGTTATCACTCTGTGTCCGTTGTACCGATGTTTATAATATTATTAGTTACATGGTGTGTTAGTGACCTAATACGATATATATGGGGTCAGTAAATTCCATATGGGGATTCGAGCTTCGCTCTCACCCCATATATCGTATTAGGTCACTAGCTCACCGCATAGGCGGATATAGGGGGCGGGGGGGGGGAGGGGCTGCGGGGCCCGCCCCCCCTTTCGTGGGAAAAAAATTGGTTGATTATATAGGGAATCACTGAAGCATGACTGGAGCGGGCCCCCCATTAGGTCAGTCAGCGGGCCCCCCTTATGAAAAGTTCTGGATCCGCCACTGCACCGTGTAACGAATTTATCTTACCGACTACTAGTATCTTCCCATGTGGTATTAAGACTAGCGGCCTATCAAAGTGATTTAAAAGACTTCAATACTTATTTTTAACATGCTTAAGAACCTACTTTCATTTGTCCATACAAAAAAAAAAATGCCAACAATAACAACGTGTTAGCTTTAAATATGTTTTACGAATGTATTTCAATCGTTTATTACCAGTTTCTTCGTCTGTTTAAACCTTTCAGATGTCATTTTTGTTTTAAAAGGGAAGTAACCCCTTACTAACCCCATATGGTTGCTAACCGTATATGGTAACTAACCATGTATTTTTTAGGACACCCTATATGAAATATATATGGTCACCACGTGTAGTCGATTAATCAATCATATCCCCATAAATCTATAGAAGGTAAGATAAGTTCATTTATAAGTACGTCTGAACCAGTGACGACTCTACAACAGATCACCAGCAGTGTTGGTGATACAAGGCTGAAAATACATTCTGTAAATATAATTCATCTAAACAACAGCCCAACAATGTTAGATCTGTAAATTTGCGGAAGCAAACTTTTTGTTCTTCCCTGGCCGGGATTCGAACTCATGCTACTGAGATATCGTGGCACCAAATCGCCTTGCACTATGCCCGACGCGCTAGACCACTCGATATATGTTCATTTATATATTTATATGAAATAGATATCTAAATTGCAACCCATTGTTATCCGAAAGAGTTCGTAGAGGTGTTGATGTCAATCACACATAACAGACTTCAAGAAGGAGTTAGATTCCCAGTGAAGGCGTATAAAAATTACAAAAGTAAAAGGTAAATTTTTGAATCAATTTCATGAGTAAACAGAAATCAGTAATAAAGTGGCCGATTCAAATTAATAAATAAGGCACACAAGGGAAACAATTGAATATAATTTGGTGAGTCCATTTTAGCGACAGATTTAGGAAGCGTTGTTTCTGGAAAAAGAAACCACGGAAAATGAATAGGATGACGTCACGGCAATGGTTTAAACAAAGTTATAAGAAACGGTTTATGCACTTCAATCGCAGGAGGGCTCATATTGGTATAAACATAAAATTATCTATATTCGTTCGAAATTCAGCATACCAATTTGTAACTGCGTTACTGAACTTGAAAATTGATACTTCAAACATCAACCAATGAATTATTAATAACAATACCACTTGCACTGTACCCAGTGCTACGAACTAGACATAATATAAACATACCTCTAGTTTTTAATCGTCGACCAAATCACATATAACATTGTATGCACAATTGAAGTTGCTTGAAGATGTGAAATATATGGATTTCCTTATTTGAAAAACTAGAACATGTAAAGGATACAATTATTATTTATCATTTAGTTATAATTTTTATACATACCTCATCATTTCTTGGAACAACTCTGTGATATATTATTTTCTCCATTAAATAGCCACACAATCTCTTACATTTAGTTCCAGACTTTGAAGTAAATAGATATTCTAATAACCGTATTAAATAATAAACAATGTATTACCTACATATAATGTTCTATCCCCCTGTATGCGCTGACTGAAACTGACGAGGTAAAACTATGTACCTCGTATATATATCTAGAATGAATGAAATACGAACCACGTATTTAAGTCATTTGTAATAAAACCGATCTTTTCACCCGTTTAAATAAAACAGAGGATTTTTTGTCACGTTGATACGTACGATCATTATTACAGAAGTAAACCAAAGTAAGCAGAACACGTTATCGTTTGCGATTGGGTCATATACAAGGTTGTTTTATTTGATAATCCTTATAGGATGAAACATGCCCCTAACGAATTTTGTTCGCAGAAAAAAATGAAGACTCTTTCTTCCGAAGATTAAAACAGAAATTTAGAAAACAAATATCCACTTCATTCAGTTTAGGGCTTAAGGTGTACCTCTTGTAACAGGTAAACATGAATATGCTCAACTGAACGTAGAAACAATTCCGTCCTCTTTTCGCGATTGTGACTCTAGCTCCTTAGTTCACCATATTTGTTTTAGTTAGAATTTTTCTTATTGCCTTTGGTCAGGGTTTCGTCTGTTTCTATTCGACTAATAGCTTCTATGTGCACTTGGTATCTTCTTTGTGTACATGATATATTGTATTCCAACTTTGGAATAACTTCGGAAATATTTAGTGACAAAATAGATCGATGGGTATGGTCTGAACATACTTCATTAAACATGCTCTTACAAAATTTGTTTTTAATATGGTAGGATCATGACACTTTCCGGACGACATTTAACAACTTATTATTCATTGTTATCATATATATCAAGTATGACGCGACGTCACTGTAAAAATATCTAGGATTAAACATACTTGGAACACTTAAATTAAAGGGAAAACAACACAGGTGTCAAAACGTTTTTGGTCTTTTGGGGCTGTGCTTGTCAGCAGGCTGTATGTTTTCTGGGAGATCATGTATGCATCGTTGTTCCTTTTCTTGTCCTTATAAGCTATCGTTGAATTTTATATTGTAGCAATTCGATTACTATATATAGAATATATGTCAAGGTGAACTGACCGAAAAACACATTTTTATCTGATAAAAATCTGTTTAAAATACGGAAAGCCACATATGTACATGTAACTGACTATTCGCTATGAAATTTAAATTCGGTGTATATGAATTCATGGTATTGATTCTTATACTTTGAAGATCATCTCTCATACCAATACCAAACAAATCGCATACATCAATATCAATTGGAAACACAACTTCAAAATACTGATGGATTCAGTCGAGAATTATTACAGGCAATGGGTTCAACTCGTAAAAGAAGACGTAGATACTCTTTCCGAATGTGTAAAGGCTGTGAGGTCGTTCATACAAGAACTGAATGGGTATATGAACACACATCGATCTTTTTTGATCCAAATGTTGCGAAGCACATGTCCTTTTTTCATGAGAAATATGTTGTTGTCCCCGCTGATAAATTTTAAAGCTACAAACAATGTAAGATAATAATAACAATTAACTGCTTGCTAAAGGAATAAGGTATTGATTATTCACTTCACTAACTCAATTTATACCCCATCGAAACTTACCATGGAAGAAATCCTGAATAATCATACGTCTGTTCTATGCTCCCTTGGAATGTCAACATAAGTTGAAGAACTTGATCTTCCTTCACTGTATTGGATACCTAAATAACACGTGTCCTTACAAACAAACATTGCACCAGGTCATGTTTTTCTCTGACTGTTTATGACGTCTTTACTAAACCATTGGATGTTGAATGTGTACTGATTGATAATTTATTCTTAGATGCATGATTTTTTTTATAAGTTGTTATTGTCTTTGAACTAGCTGTCAGTAACTACGAATACTCTCAGATCTGTACTAAGTGTCTTTTTGTTGTTGTGATGTCCAAGTACCCGGCCACGTCCACTCTGTGTTTTTGTTAGATGTGTTTCTATTTGTATCCATCTGATGAGTTAAGCCTTTTTCAACTGATTTTTATAGTGTGTTCTTATGTTGTACTGTAAAACCACTGTCCCAGGTTAGGGGAGGGCTGGGCAACTACTCTTGAACATGTTTAACCCCGCTACATTATGTATGTGCCTGTCCCAAGTCAGGAGCCTGTAATTCAGTGGTTGTAGTTTGTTGCTGTGTTATATATTTGTTTTTGTTCATTATTTTGTACATAAATTATGCCGTTAGTTTTCTCGTTTGAATTGTTTTACATTTGTCATTTCGGAGCCCTTTATAGCTGACTATGCGGTATGACTTTGCTCATTGTTCAAGGCCGTACGGTGATCTATAGTTGTTAATTTCTGTGTCATTTGGTCTCTTGTGAATAGTTGTCTCATTGGCAATCATACCACATCTTCTTATTTTTATATTATATTGCTTGGGCTTCAAAGTGCTCCACGAAGCCCCTTTCTAAATTATCAACATAAATTGAATTAGCAATAAAAGCCTGGCTTTAACGTTATTGCGAAACTACCTACTCTAGGGGGAGGCGTGAATCATATGAGAATACTTAAAAATTCCAAAGATCTGTTAGAGTACATACAATCTAATTCTCTTCCATCTTGTAATAGTATTAAAACATTTGACTTTTCTACACTTTACACAAGTATTCCCCACTCCCAACTTAAGACAAATTTAAAGAATTTGTCATGCTTTGTTTCATAAAAAAGAATGACAAACGTAAATACAAGAATGTTGTATTATGGAAGAATAAATCGTACTTTGTAAATTATCACTCTGATTCAAACATATCAAACAAAAGATTCTCTGAAACTGACATTATCATGATGCTTGAGTTATTGTTTTACTAGATGATGCTATTTGACTTTCTACATTGAATCGGCATCATAAAAGAATATGTTTAACACATGGAAACATTTCCATTTTGAACAATTTTCCGGGGCACACAGTGTTTCTTTAGAATATATTTGTGATCATGTGTGAGCCAAACAGGCGAGAGGTAGTTTAATTTAGCTATCTTAGCTATCATGACATTGCTTAATAAACTGCAAAAAAGAAATGCTTGATGTCAAGAAAATACTAAAAAAATCTAAAATTAAGTAGATAACGAAAGTTAACTGTTGACTTTATCAAAGTACATAGATACACCTTTTTATTTTATTTGATGCAAATGACAACGTGATTCATCATCTCACTACTTGTTGTTTTCAATTAAAAGTTAAGTTGAATTCTCAGTAAGAAGTTAGAACCCCTCGTTATGTTCAAGTGCATGCCCGAAATCAGTAACAAAGTTGTGTTTATGGTATTTACATCTTTGTAGTTTCGTCACCGTAGAACTTGTTATTAATGATAAGTTCTTTAATATGCTCTTGAATTGAATCTCAACTTTTCTAGATAAAATTGAGAATTAAAACGGGAAATGTGTCAAAGAGACAACAACCCGACCAAAGAGCAGAATACAGCCCAAGGCCAACAATGGTTCATCAAAACAGCTAGAAACCCTGCACCCGGAGGCGTACTTCAGCTGGCCCCTAAACAAAAATGTGTACTAGTTTATAGAAAATGGACGATGCACGTCAGTCCGAGTCCGATGTTAGAATAGGTAACAGAAGAAACTAAGCAAAAATGATAACATAAATTAACAAAGGACTACTAGCAGTTACTGACATGCCACCTCCAGACCTCAATTAAACTGATTGAAAGATTATGTCTTGATCATATGAAAATTAAGCACAATCCCTTCCGTTGGGGGTTTAGTATCATACTATCATAAAATATACGAGAAGAACAAAACCAATATCATGCCAACAACTGGTTTTAGAATAAATGTGTTTATTTCCGAATTAAATATGAATCAATTTTAATTCCAAAAAATGCAATCTTTAATTACCTGACAAAAAGTTTCGTTACTATATCCCTTCTGAATAAGTCTGTTTAAAGGTTTAGTAAGCTTTTGAGGTGAATGACGACATTTTTGTGCTTTGTATAGAATATTACCATAAAAGAATGGATATGAAATACCTCAACGTATAAGATATCTACACGGTGATTTATATTTGCGAATGATGTCCTTGTACCGATGATAACATTTAGTAAATGTTTTGACAAGTTTGTGATATCGAAAAACCTCGTGTAATAATTTTTCAGTAAAACAGCGATTTCTTTCATTAAAAAAAAAAATACGTTGTAATATACACGAACGAATCGAACAAGTTGAAATCTATAAACACCATAAGATGGTGACAAGAGCACGTCATCATCTAAAAATGAATATTTAACAATAGGATATAAAAAATCATCTCTCTTATTGTATATTTTGATATCAAACTTCCCGTGAAAGATAAAGATATCAAGATCCAGGAAGGGGCAGTTGTCATGTTAGTATTAGCTTTATTTAAAGTAAGTTGAGCATACGTTACTGAAGTTGCCCTTATTGAGAGCAAACATATCTAAAAGTGTATTAAATTTTTGTATCATATGTTGTTTTGAAGGGTCTATGGTGATTTTAATCATAAATTGTAACTCGTAACAATACAGAACCAAGTCCGCAATAAGTAGTGCACAGTTAGTCCCAATTGGAATTCTGATAACTTGACTATATACGGAATCTCCATATCGAACAAAAATGTTATCTAGTAGATTCAATTTAAGTGCAGTATTCGTATCAAAGCAGTACAATTGACTTATTTCTTTTGTTTGTTCTTACTAAAAAAATTACCAGTTTTGGAACAATATATGTAGTACATCACATAGTACAAAAATTAAGATACTTTTATTTTCATTTTGACTGTATTTTTACCTATTAATGGGTTGTCATTTTTTTGTCCATATGTTGCTGTTTTATAATTATTTCGTTTTTTTTGTCATCCTTAGATTAATTTGATAGATTGGCTATTATTTTAGGTCCTTTTTGGTCATATAGCTCTTCAACTGTTTTTGGTTCTTATACATCCTTGGCTTTCAAATATTCTGCTTGGAGCATTCCCGACGAAGGTAAATCCAGACAAGCGCTTCGGACACATGCAATTTTTATAATGTTGTTTTCATTTTTTGTATGTCGTATTTCAAATCGAATTTTGGCATACAGAATAAACACCATCATAATTAATCAGTCTGTTTAAACAAATTGTGAAATTTGTTTTTATCCAAGCATTTCTTTTACATAGTATAAAACAGCCCTCCGTAGGCGTATACGTATATAAAATTTGTAAT